TAGAAGAGAGATTCCTTGATATCAACCCATACTGCCGCTGTCGCGCGATTCAGGTATTCATGCGAATCTGTGACCTGGAGCAGAAGTTCCCGAAAAGGCGTCAGGCTGCAGCGGAACTCGCTGCTAGAAGCTTGGAGGATAAGAGTAGCAATGTGCGACGCAACGCGATTAAACTGCTGTCAAAACTTGTTTCCACACATCCTTTCAGTGTTATGCATGGTGGGCTCCTGTCATACAAGGAGTGGACAGATAGACTGGACGCAGTTGACGCCGAGTTGAATTCCCTACGTCCTCCTGAAACACCCGGCTTTGGGGCAGGCGATATGACTCAGGTTGACCCCGAACTGTTGGATGACGCCACTCAGATCCCGGATGATTCTCCATCGAAAGCGCCCCGGATGAGCGATGAAGAGAAGGCTATTGCTGTGCAGAAAGCCGCAGAACAGGCGGCCACATCTGAATTGATGACGCGCCTCCAACTGACGAGGAAGTATTACAACGAGGCCATTCGGTTCATTGAAGTCCTTCACTCTGGATCCACCGTCGTGACCCAGTTACTTTCATCCCGGAACAAGAGTGAAGTTATTGAAGCCATGGACTTCTTTGTTGTTCTCGATGCGTACAAAATTGAGACTGCCCGCGGTGGGATTCGCCGTATGCTGCGCCTGATTTGGACCAAGGGCAACAGCGACGAAGGAAAGGGTGTTCAGACACATCTGATTGATTGTTACAAGGGCCTCTTCTTCGACGCACCGGGCTCTTTCTCACCCAACGATGCTGCAAACTACATCGCTCGCAACATGATCAGTTTGACGTTTGGTGCCACTCCTGCAGAGCTGACCTGTCTCGAGCAGTTGCTTAGCACGATGATGAAGGCAGGGAATATATCTGATGCTGTCATCGCCAAGCTATGGCAAGTTTACAGTATCCAGAAGAAGGAAATCTCACGAACTCAGCGCAGAGGTTCGATCATTGTTCTCGGAATGCTTGCCCTGGCAGATCCAGAGGTTGTGGTGAAAGAGATCGAGGCTATGCTGCGCATTGGTCTAGGCGGCTTAGGAAGGGCTGACCTTGTGCTCGCTAAATACACTTGCATTGCTTTGCGGCGCATGATCCCCGGACGTCAAGCCAAATCAAACGAGGTTGTTGGCATTCCCAAGCTCGCCAGCGACCATTCTGTTTTGGTCAAGCTGGTAGCCATGCTTGAGATCGAGACAGCTAGCAAGGAATGGTATGGAGTGGCAGAGCACGCGCTCAATGCCATTTACACTTTGTCCAAGCATCCCGATGTTCTTTGCTCTGATATCCTAAGACGAAAGACCAGGTTCGTCTTTGCGCCCCATCTTCAACAACGCCCGCCTTCTTCCCATGCCTCTGTCAATGGAGAAGACGAGCAACAACAACCTGGGACTGCATCCACTGAGGGACAGGATTCCAAACCGAAGCCGGCATCTGCTGCACTCTCACAGCTTTTGTACGTCGTTGGCCACGTTGCAATCAAGCAGATAGTGCATTTAGAGCTGTGCGAACTTGACTTCAAACGTCGCAAAGTTGAACAAGAGAAGAACAAAGCAGCCACTGCTCCCCAGAAAGAAGACAATGCCGAAGAAGACGAACTCGATCTCATTGGCGGAACAACAGAAGACGACTTCCAGGATGCCATGGCCCATATCCGAGAACGCGAGTTACTCTATGGGGAAAACTCCCTCTTGGCCAAATTCGGCCCGCTAGTAGTGGAAATTTTGGCCAACAACAACTCCTACCCGGATCGTGACCTGCAGGCGTCTGCGACCCTTTGCCTTGCCAAACTCATGTGCGTGTCCGCCGAGTACTGTGAGAAGAACTTACCACTCCTCATCACTATCATGGAACGGTCCGAAGATCCTATTGTCCGTAGCAATGCTGTAATTGCGCTGGGCGACATGGCCGTTTGCTTCAACCACCTCATCGACGAAAACACCGATTTCCTCTACCGTCGTTTGAATGATGACGACGACTCCGTCAAGCGCACCTGTCTCATGACCCTTACCTTCCTCATCTTGGCTGGTCAAGTCAAGGTCAAGGGACAACTGGGCGAGATGGCGAAATGTCTGGAGGACGATGACAAGAAGATCGCTGATATGGCTCGCATGTTCTTCACGGAGCTGTCAACCAAGGACAATGCCGTGTACAACCACTTTGTTGATATGTTCAGTCTGTTGAGTGCAGAACCCAACCTAGATGAGGTGTCTCTCCGCCGTATCGTCAAATTTTTGATCGGGTTCGTCGAGAAGGTATGCTTCCCCCCTTATAATTTTTAATGATTTTATGCTAATGTCGACCCAGGAAAAACATGCTCGCCAGCTGGCCGACAAGCTGGCCGCTCGACTTCCTCGTTGCGAAACAGAGCGACAGTGGAACGATGTTGCATATGCCCTGTCTCTTCTGCCACATAAGAACGAGGAGATCACCAAGACCGTCAGTACAGGGTTCAAGGTCGTCAGTGCCACGGCCTGAGGCTGATCTGATCTGAGATGGATTATGTGTCGATGTACTTGATGATTGGAGTCTGGTGGCGTTAGTCTTTTGGATTAAAGGGTTGTAATTCTTTTTATGAATAGAATTAATCGTTCTATTGAACCTATGTATGATATACCTAGACTTCATCTAGATGTACCTGGAGCTATGTTCAAATTTTAACGTAATCACCACAATGAAATGGTATTGTAGCTATCCACGAAACAGATTTCTAGAGAATAATGTCTAAGTATATGAGAATAAGAGTATAACCCAAAAAAAAGATCAAAACGGGGGTAAAAAATGACAGAGAGACGCCGAGTTCAATGTTTGTGTGGTCGCATGCCAGATACGCCAAAGTTGCTTACACAATTATACCTATGCGCCCTGCACTGTACTTTCTGTCAAAGCGAAATTGCCCGAGTGAATCCCTTGCAGAACCTTTTGTCCCTCCTCCGTGAGCTCTGGCTTACCCAGCGGGGTCACCGCGCCAGTGAAGAACCGGGGATTCCACTCAATACCCTTTTCATTGCGCTCCGCAGCCCGCTGCCGTTGCCGTTCCTCAATATCCTGCTTGAGCTTCGTGGCCTGGCTGAACTGCCTATCGACAATGGCCGTCGTCACACCCGACCAGAACTTCAATGACTCGTTAGACAGCTGTTCTTCGGATGGAGGTAGGGTCTTTGTGACGGGGAGAAGTGGGGTTATGTCAATGAGCAGACGAGGCTCCTTGGTGCCCGCCGGTGTGAAGTATATCTTTCCATGCCAGGAGCCGGTGATACGAGCGACAATATCACCCTCTGGCACATCTTTCAGTCGACTGATCGTGTCCTTGTCCGGGTTATAGCGGAAGATTACGCCCTCTAGCTTATTCTGTGACCGGCCAATCCAGCCCTCTTCCATGTACTGTAGGATAGCCTTCAGGCCTGTTTTGGGGCAGGTGACGTAGCATGTGTCTGCGACTGTGACTGAAAGCGCTCCGCGTAGTATTCCTCCTAGGTGGGCGTTTGGGTGGGTCAACTGGTATTCCTCGTTGTCCCTCTTTTCGATATTCACGAAAATCCCGAGATTATGCTGGCCGGGGCTCACGCGAATACTGGTGCCAGTGAACTTGGCGCTGATCTGGTCGAACCCGCGCGCTGAAACGCCTCTTTCGGGGCAGTCGATGTAGAACGCTGATACTGGGGGGTGGTGGGAGGTCTGTTCTGTGAGATAGCATACTTTGACCTTCTCATCGCCGTCGGTTACGGTGGAGGAGCCATTGGAGCTTGATTTAATGCCGGGGAGATTCGCTTCTTCGGGGATATTGTCGCTAACGTCCCAGCTGCACTGTTGCGTGTCAGGAATGAATTGTCATGAATGAAATGCAGAAGACATTGGTACTCACTCGGAAGAATTCACCTAGGGTAGAATTGTATGGTTTGCACGGTTTTCCCTTAACGTATTTCTGCAGCAAGATCAGTAATTGATTAAGTGAACCTGAGCAGCCCAGACATACCAGATCCTTGGTAAACCAGAACCGTAACACCTCCAACATCCGACCTAGCTCATCATCCGACTTGCCAATGCTGTAGCTCTTGGGTCAGCACACAACGTTCGTCAAATATAGACACATTCACCTACCTCGCAAACGTCTCCGGTCGATCTAAGTAATGCCAGTATTCTTGTCACCGCAGTCAGTACCAACCCCGCACGAAAGACGAACAAAGACCTACCCAAGTTTGGTCGAGGCTCCAGGAGTTGCGCTGGTAGTGAAAAACGAACCGAAGCGATATCTGCCACACCGACGAACCTAGATTCCAATCATATTAGCGCCTAACGTCTAGTTATGTCTTGCGCAGCGGTGCGGGGAGCCAAGGGAGAGATGCATACTTTCGAAGGATGGAGAGGAAGGTCTTCAGCTTGGAAGAGTCATCTGGGGCCTTTTCAGGCACTGTGGTAGCAGACATGCTGTATGTTCAAGCAAGGAGGATTCGTAGAGAAAGAAAATGAAAGAGAGAGAGAGAGAGAGAGAGAGAACTGGGTGTTCAGTAGAACAGGAAGGGTGGCAAACTAAGAGATGGGTCGTTGAGGGGGTTTAGTGTCTCGGGCCTTGCCTCTATACCGAAACGAGGATAATAGTGTAGTCCAATATTCCCACGTAAAGGTCCCACGTCAAAGTCAGAGATCATCCAAGAAAGAAGTGAGAGAAGTAACTCAACAACATTCGAGGCGGTGACGTGTGAACTATTTTTTGCCCGGTGGGGTACCTCAGGCCTTCCAAGATGATTTTCCATGGAAGGGCTCTACGGAGTATATATCTCTGATATATAAAGTATTTATAGAATATTGTTTGTCTACCATTAAACGCCATGTAGTTAAATTGGAAGGGGGTTCCGAGATTAATATACAGATGCCCACTACGTCAGATAAGAACAAATATTAGAAGAATGAGAATAACAAAGAAAAAAGAAGGAATATCATGAGATATAAAGGCGAATTTTTCTGATTTACAGGTCATCCAATCAGTAGGCCACGAGGGCGGACAGCTGCTGCAACTCTTGTTTCTGTGCCAAGCGTCGAAGCCACGTTCGCACGGCAGGCCCATAGTCAAATCGCCGTCCAGCCGCGTACTCGTCATCCGACCGGTGGGATTGCTGCTCTTCACGGATTCGTGCACGGAGTTCTTGCTGACTCTTGGCTATAGTCTGCTGATACTCTTGCAGTTTCTCATCCGAGCACGTCTGATAATCATTGAGGGTTTCCGGGGGGATCATCGCCGCATCGATATCTTCCCGTGTTAAAGATACTGAAAGTTCAGGGCCAAGGACAGTTTCGTCCAAAATGAGTGTATCTGATGAACATAGGGATGCGGCACGCTGGTTGAGAATTTCTAAGGTCCTCACGTTGCAAGCCAAGTCATTGATGAGATCAGGTAGAGGATCGCGCACGAGTCCTAAAATTGAGAATTCAATTTCTTCTTGTTCATATGCAGCCATTCGGTCCAGGAGATTGGGCTTAACCAGTTCCAGCCAGTCATCTTCAGAACATTCCCCTACTAGAGTTAGCAAGGTCATCCCAGCATGTTTGTTGTATGGTGCATACCAAGTGCTCGTGGCTGTCTCTCCAGGCCATCAAATTTCCACAGCTGGCCCATCACAGGCATAAATGCAATGAAATGGAAGGTGGCATCAGATTCTTCAACGGCCTGGCCCTTGGACCCTTTTTTTCTAGTAGTAGCTTCGGTCTTGAGCTGTAGATCTGAATTGAGAATGTCCATTTTTCTAATATTGAGTCAGTGTTTGGCTGATAGAAAAAATAAAGCCAAATGGCATACCGTGCGTATGAGTTGTGTATCCTTTTGACAAACTCAAAGTTGTTGATTGCATCCCCACGCAAAGCTGGGGTGAAAGGCATGGTGAACTCCTTGAAGGATCGCAGATTCTCTCCTAGATCAATATCTGGGATATTGTTGACAATATTTAGTAGTGCTACACTGGCGCAAGCATTGTTGGCAGTCTATATAGATATATTTATAATTAGTAACGAACGATTCAGCTGAAGCATAGGGGACTGACTTGATTTGCGAACCACAGTCCATCAGGGCAAGTCGCTTCTTGCTTTCCATCGTTATCCTCACGCCAGCGGAAGAGAAAAATCAAGCCGTAAACAGGAGTACTGCCCATGGTCAGTTATTACGCCCATATATAAAAGTACAGGGGGTTCCGAGCAACATACTTGAGAAACGCCATCATTTCTTCATCGAGAGAAACGACTTCTTGGATCTTTACGCCCTTGACACCAAACTCACGTAGCATGACATTAAACAATGCCTAAACCCTGTAAGCAAAGAACTGCTAATTGACAGGCATACTAATATACCGGTTCTGATTCAATTTCGCAGAATCCATTCCAGCTGTCTTTTTCCAGACGAGAGGCAGGCTGGCAAATATCGTCACTGAGATCTTCTGGGTCCGTTAGGCGGCGCCTTTTGACTCGAGGACCCATGTTGGTTACGCAAAAATAGGAGCTGAGGATATAGCTGTAGAGCAGCTAGAGCTTGAAGATGGGATTGAAAAGCTATGATAAAAGGAGTCCAGAGAAGATAATAGGTTTGCTCTTCTCAATGTTGAGTGAAGAAAAACAAAAATAGAGTCAGGTCTCAAATAAATATTGAGAAATAAGATGGACTTTTATAGAGACAGGTAGACAATAGAGACAATAGAAGTACAATAGAGAGGAAGCGGTTAGGTCATATGTCGTTGAGTGGACCGAGCTTCTCCCGACGCGCTTCCCGCGTCTCCAACTTTTTGTTTCTTTCTTTCTACCCTGCTATAGGCACAAATTGCCACTGGACAGCTTCATTTGACTTCATACAGCTTCATTTAGCTTATTAAAGCTTTAGAAGAGCCATCATTGCGCTCTAGCTACATCCACTTCACCCTTTCGCCAGCTCCGGCAGCCACAGCATGCCATGAACGGCACTCCCCTCCTCTCGTCTGCCTTTCCGCAGACGCCTAAAACAGTCCCTGGATCTACAAGGAGAAAGCTATTTGAGACTCCTTCACGATCGCAGCCACGAGAGACTAGGACTGTACGAACGCCACTCAGATCAGCATCCAAATCCGCCTCGAAGGTGTCGAGACTACCACCCCCGAGCCCAAACACCGATGTGCCACTGATCCCCACCAATGTGATCGATGCTCCCTCTCAACGACTCTATGTCGTTGCAATATATTTTGCTCTAAATGCGTGGCGCATTTATGAGTCCTTGACCGCATCCGATGACCTAGATTCAACCTGGCTGTTGTTGAAATGGGCCACGATAGATGGAATTTTCTTGTTCGGGCTGCAGGCTTTGCGCATACCTTGGCTGGAGTGGGCATTCCCGACCACGCTCACTCTATTCCTGCTTCACGCCGTGGGCAATGTTTTTTTGATGTTCCGCATCCCAGTGAGTTCTTTCTTTTTTTTTTTCAAAAAAAAGAATAATAATAATTTAAATCTTTGATCGGCCCCCGCTAATAGCTACAGATTCCTTGGGCTACATGGATTACTGGACTAGTAAAGGTGGCATATGATCGCGAATTATCTGTTTCTGAGCGCAGGGTCAAGCCCGGCGATATCATTCACAATGCGTCATTGATCCTGGGAAGGCAAATTGTGCATATTCTGCCAGAGGGGTAAGTATATCCTGTTCAAATATACCTGAGATCCATGCTGACTTTACAATAGATCTGCCGTGCTCAATCCTGACAGAAACTCGCTTTGTCTTGATTCTCTACAATCCACGATTGACCTTCCCATCCGCGTCAACCAGACCGATCCGGTCCTGATTGAACTGCTGCGTCTGGATATTAACACTGGCGAAAATGAAACCATTAGCATCCCGGCGAAGCAGTTGAAGACTCTCAAAAAGCAGGCGGAAAAGAAGCATGTTCCGGGCCAAGTCCATCGCGACTTGCTCTTCCCTGTGCGCAAGACTGGCGTATATCGTCTTCAACGGGTGGTGGACGAGTCTCAGCTTGATGTCCACACGCGAACATTTGACGCACTGGTGGTCTCTTGCCCGCGAGCCTTGATCAAAAATTCACACATCGACAAGTGCAAAGGAGAATTGTCCGACTTCAAATTGGAGGTGGAAGGCACGCCTCCGTTGAAGATCAAGTACAGCCGCCAAGTCAACAATCTTGATCGTGGATTCTCGGTCCTCAATATCCAGCCCGATCAGCTACGCTCTCCGCTGCTCAATGGAAGAACTACAGCTGCGCTATACAGCATCAACCAGCCCGACGTTTCGTGGGCGCAGAGTCAAAAGATTGAGGTTCCGTTGAACGAATCATTGAACGATGGCGGAGAATGGTTTTACACTATCGAAGAGGTCCATGATGCTATTGGAAATGTGGCTAATTATTCTACTATCTTCGAGGAAGGAGACAGGCCGTCCACAAAGTCGCAATCCCAGTGGTACCAGTTCTCCGTTCACGAGCGCCCACAGTTGTCACTGCAAAACTGCAATTCTCAGAATCCTCTACAAGTGGCCAAGGGAGACAGCACGAGGTTCCCCTTGAACTTTCATCCCGATGGGCACGCATATGCTAAGGATGGTCCCTTTTCGGTCGGTTACTCGTTCACAGGCAACACTCAAGAAGCAGCACAAGACCAGACCGTCGAGCTCAAGCATATGAATCAGACTTTGGACATCAAAGAGCCTGGTTTATATGCCTTGACATCGGTCTCCACCAAGTTTTGTCCGGGAGAGATCCTCGAGCCCTCATCTTGCTATTTGCATAACCCGCCTGAGCCAGAATTAACAGTCAAGGCTGAAAAGATATTTGACCGCTGTGCCAACAACGCTATTGGGTTACTCGTGGATTTGGATCTCACGGGATCGCCTCCATTCTCTCTCCGATACAGCATTGAGAGCTCCAAGGGGGTTGTTTCCAAAGTACAGGTCATCAATGGAATGCGCGCGCAACTCGATTTCACCCCATCGGAAGCTGGCTCATACACCTATCGTTTCCTGGACATCGAGGATGCCGTATACTCTCCGCGGTCTCTCAAGATACCGGTGCTTGAACAAGATGTGAAACCACCGGCTTCGGCTCATTTCCTATCAAGAAAATTGAGATCCGCTTGTTTCGGCGAAGCGGTTCCTGTGGAGGTGTCTTTCCTCGGTGAGGCTCCTTGGGTCTTGCAATATGAGATTGTCCACAATGGGAAGAGATTGAAGAAGACACTTGAATCTGATACCGATGTGGCAACCATCACGACTGACAAACTGATCAGTGGTGGCGACTACACCGTGTCTCTGACCAGCGTCAAGGATAAGTCTAATTGCAAACGAACCCTCAAGGACAGCATCAATATTGAAGCCCGATCACAGCCCCCGCACGTCTCTTTCGGTCAGATTGACAAGAAGAGAAGTGTATTGGCCTTGCAGGACTCCAAGATTGAGATTCCATTGAGACTGAGTGGCGAACGCCCTTGGACTGTCAAGTATAGAAATGTCGACGTGGACTCGGCCCCCGTTCAGAAAAATTTCTTTGATGAGAACAGTGTCTTGACCGTCGACAAGCAGGGTCTTTATGAAATCAGTGAAGTATTTGACGCCGGTTGTCCTGGAACTGTGGACCAGTCTGCCAATGAGTTTGAAATCTCGTGGATTCCACGACCTCAGATCACTGCCCTGGATGGTTCTCCCATTGGAGCGGCTAAGGAGTTTGCAAAGTCCGAGGTCTGTCAAGGGGACGATGACAGCCTTGAGGTTCGGCTGTCGGGCAATCCTCCATACAGTGTTCAATACGAGAAGCGACGCAAGGCGGACCGTGGAGGATTCTCTTCGGCGAAACCACGGGCTTTAAAGTCTGCTCTTCATGTCACTTCGATGGAGATGGATACCTCCGAGGCTGGAGAATACAGCTACAAGTTCACACAAGTTGGCGACAGCCTCTACGACCACGACCCTAAGAGCAAACCTCTTGTTGTGACACAGAAGGTCAACCCGTTACCTTCTGCGAAGTTCGATCAACCTGGCCACGTCTTTGGCTTCTGCAAGGAAGACATTAGCGGCGAGGAATCCATCCCCATTACCTTGGAGGGTGTCCCACCATTCTCGCTGGAGATCAGCATCAAACACCACTCAAACGCCAAACCGGAGATTGTCACGATTCCCAAGATCAATTCCAATCGCCACAAACTGCTGATCCCTCGTCGCCATCTTGACTTGGGCCAACACCAAGTCAGCATCCACAAGGTTCGCGATTCTAGAGGATGTCAAAAGACCACTGACCTCGATGCCTCCTCGGTGCGTGTCGCCATCTCCGATGTTCCTACCATTATCCCGCTCGAGTCTAAGGTGGACTACTGTGTGGGCGAACGACTTGCATTCTCGCTGTCAGGCCATGCTCCATTCGACGTGTTCTACACCTTCAACGGCGCCAAGCGTAAGGCCACTTCTCAAACATCTAATTTCCGTCGTATCGCGGAACTTCCCGGTCAGTTCACCATCGACGCTGTCAGTGACGGAGCCAGTGGGAAATGCAAAGCCCACAAAGATATCACCAAGATCATTCACGCTATGCCGAGTGTCCGGATCAGCAAGGGTAAAGAATCGGTGGTAGACATTCACGAGGGTGGAGAAGCCGAGCTTCACTTCGAATTCTGGGGTACACCACCATTCGAATTCACGTAAGTTGATAATATCTACCAAGGGAATCTGCACCACACAGTATGCTAACATCCCCCAGATATATCCGGAGCTCCAATGTCCGCAAGGGAAAGAAGTCCGAGATCCTTGATATCAAGCACGATATCTCCTACGAAAACATGAAGACCATCAAGACCTCTGATGAGGGAACTTATGAGGTTATCGCGATCAAGGACAAGTTCTGTTCATTCTCTTCCCAGACTCCGTCGGGCAAGTCAGACAGATGAAGCAGAGAAACCAAAATGATGTGATGAATGTGGTGTAATACTTGGTGTTTTATGAATCTTGTTATTTACCTTCGCTTTTGGGGGTTTCTTTTCAATTTGTTGCATTGCAGCGGCGCTAGCACTTCAATTTCAGATATCTACATGCTTTCTGTCCAACTACTTCGTTTTCTCCAACGGTATACATAAGCTCTGTTGGTTTACTCGAGGCTAAATTAACTACATGAGACTGTTCCCAGGCAGGCTTCCACAAAGAGATATATATATGGCTATCAGAAACCTCCCTGCATGACACTGAAGACGACTTCTGCACTCCACTGTTGGTATAAAAATATGTCCATGCAACTCCCGGACATTAGCGAGCTTTTGTTAAAGCCGTGATATAGTCCCTTTGGTGCTGGTAGTAGCTTTCATAGCTCTCGCCTATACAGGAAGATGTTAGCTTGAAATCAAAGAGGATAGGCTAGGAATACCTACCGAGTTCATAGAAGTATTTCATATTTGATGCTAGACAGAATAATTGAAAATAAGGGTTGGGAAGAGGGAATATATAGAGTGTAAGACACAAGAGATCCGGGGGAAGTGGTTGAAAATATAGACAAAATTAGGGCAAACAAACATCATTGTTATCTGTAGATCGCTTTAGCACTGTGAAGTTATAAATGTCTATATAACACTAATAATTCTAATCTACAGCTCAACCTGTACAGCTACCATACTATTCGACATAAACCCAGTAACAAAGAGCCAAGCAAGCTTCTTACCACCAACCTTTGGCTCAATGGGCACCAAAACAGCCGCGCTTGCAGTGCTAATCCTAGAACCATCGTCCTCAAACAGCACCTTCTTCTCCCAGACCCCAGTGCGCGAATTGTGGGTCATATACCACACTTGGACCGGGATAGGAACCGCGGCATTCGGATCCTGAGAACCCAGCAGACGAATAGCCTGCGAGACACCGGCCACAAGGTATCCACTCGCATCATGCGAGTCGGTGCTATATGGATCATCGTAGTATGACGGATTATCCGCGAGAGCACCAACAGAGACCGAGGTATTGATGGAGATAGTGTGATTCGACTGCCTGGTTGCGAGGAAGACCTCGCCGCCCATAGCGCTGGAAATAATGACTTCATTCTCACTACGGCCATGCCCGAGACCATTGTTATTCCATAGACCTGTCAGCGCGACGGAGGCTTCGATAGGAGCGTCTTTGCTTGTCAGGCCGGCGATCTGGACGTGGATGATGTCGGACCACTTGGCTGAGCGCCAGACAGCCTCGATGAGCCGCATGGGGCCTTCGCGGTTGGAGTGGTCATTGGTGACGTAGAAGGAGATCGGGCTTATGGCATAGATGTCGTTGGGGGTTTTGATGAGCGGGTGGTTTATTGAGCGTACATGTCGGATGGAATCCGAGTTTAGGATGTGGTGGAAGAGCTCAATCTGAGACTGAGATTTGTGAACGCCTTTGGGCTCGCCAGCTTCAAAGTATGCCGGGTTAGGCATGTGATTAACGGCGTAGATATAGACTGCGTTTGACTGTTCGGGATCCTCAATGACATCGATTCCATGAGTCACGAAGGGTCCTTGGAAGTTCTCGAACGCTAGGCGAGTTGATTTCATAGTCTATGTTAAGGATTAATGGGCCTTACTTTATATATATATCTAGAACAAACTCACCTTGGGATCCACAACATGGATAGAGCCTTGAGCTGTGAGTGGTAACAAGTGGCCTAGCGGTGGGAACCAACTAAACCGTATGTTCTTGTTATCCTCGCAGGCAGTGAACAGCAGGTTTGCCGGGCGGTAGTGGTGCACATCCTCACAGTGGATGGTGTCTTCGATATAGATTGGGCCCTGACTTTCACCTAGTACAGTCGAATTGGGAGTGAAAAAGACTCCTGTAATTTGCACGAAATGGCTTATTGGGCCAGCCAAGAAGGCGACTAGAGCGACAAGGCCGAGGCTGAACACGGTGCCGAATCCCATGTTGTTCAGAAGCACATTCGAATTTCCTTCGAATGTGAATGAATATAACCAAGTATGTGGAAAAAGGAAAAAAAAAGGTGTATTTATGGGCCATTCTACCCCCCACACTAAATATTGGACCTCGGGAATATCCTCGGTATCAGAGATCTGCAACTTTTCAATTTTCGGACTAGAAGTTAATATTTCCATTTCACATAGGCTGTATGTATACTTACTGGGTAACCTTGAAAGGGAAAAGAAAACCTCGGAAAAGGCTTAAAAGGTTTCCATGGTTGATATTTAAGCTTATACACCTCGACTTAAATGGGATTAGCGTCTTATAGTCCAAATCACCATAAACCGCAAACAGCAATTGCATTTGATAAACTATCCTAGGCAAAAATGATGCAGACTCTTGTTTTTTTTTCTTTGTATGTTTTTGTAGGCCAAAAAAAAAATCACTCTGATTAAGTCTAGTCATGCTCGGAGTGACTAGACCTCTCTGCGGCAAAGTCCGAAAAAAGAAATAAATAAAGAGTGCACTTGTGCAAATTCCCATTCCCATATCGTGTCGTGATTGTTTCCCCTAAACATTTTCAGTTTGTGGACTGCTTGGCATCAAGATATTCCTGATCACTGGCGTCAAGGACATCATATTCCTCGTCAGTCAGGAAGCCAGTGTCGGCATCAGTAGAGGCATCGTCCAGAGTCAGGCTCTCAACATCCTCTAGAACATCCACTTCTGAAGAATTCGACAAGGTCGGTACCTGGGGCGCAGGGGCCTCGGCTTGGTGAGTACTTGACTCCGGTGATTCCTTCTCTAGCTTTGGGAAGATCATGCCACTGCCGGCAATTTCAGACACGGCAGGGTATGTCTTGCCGATGTCAGCTTCTTCCAGAGCGGTCTGCACCTCGACGTCACACCACAAACGGTGACCGATGGCCACACCGTTAGGAAGTTTCAGCCGCCAGTAGGAGATAGCAGCACCTTCATGATTAGGGGTGCGAAGGTTGACAGTAAAGTCAGCACTCTCGCCTGGCTCCACAGGGGCAAGCAATTTGTTGCTTTGCATCGCCAAGCGAATAGATTCGACGCTAGATGGGTGGCAGACATCGACATCGAACATCTTGTCTCCACCGACAAAGCGGACATCACAGCCGACGGGCCATGCTGCAGGACCGGGGTTGTAAAGAGTCCAAGTCTGGCGGAACATGGTATTTGGGACCATCTTTGTACCGTCGGTGACAGTGTCACGGATAAAGAATGCCTTATAGTCTGACATATCAGAGCTATCGGCCTCGGAGATGGGCTTGCTCATGAGCGGCTCAGGCTCGACCTTTTCCACAGGCTTGCTAGCATCTACCTCGACGGGTTCCTGCTCCTCAAGCTCGGCCTGGTCAAGGAGTCGAGTGGAGGTATGCAGTTGGTCACCTAGGGCAACTGGTCCACTTGAACCATCGTCGCCTACGGTTTTGACAGTCACATTGCGGACCGGAGTGTTGAACTTAACTAGCGGATGAGTGCGGTTGTGGTGGTCTGTCGGAAGGGCTTCGCAGCTCGCGCAGAAGTCGGTGTCATCACAGACAGCGCACTTGTAGCGAACTCCGTTGATGTAACTCTGGGCAGGTTTGCTCTTGCACAGAGGACCATCACAGAAGATACCATAGTGGATTTCATGCTCACGAGCAGGTTCACCGATAGTTTCATAAACTTGCACGAATCGATGACCAGGATGGTTCTGAGGAGCAGTCAAAATGCAATCGGGACAGAAGTCCCAGTCGGGGCAGGCCAAACACTTGTGACGAACACCAACGATGCGCTAGCAAAAATTAACCGAGTGCCTCCAAAATAAGTTGAATGGATGACTAAATACCTTATCACAACCGTCACAGACAGCAGCGTGTCGGAACTGGCGACCGGGAAGACAACGAGAGGTGATCAGATTCTTCAAGCAAAAGTTCCGGTCAGATCCAAGGTGGAAGGTGTGGCCAGGGTGGTGGCCATGCTTATTTCGCAGGAGGCAGCGAAGGCAAAGATCATAGTCCTCGCAGTCATTGCAGCGGACGAGATTGCTTCCATCGGCTTCTGTGTGTTGTGAGCAAAGAAAAGAGGGAAAGTAAAGTGAAAAAGAGAAAACTTACCACGGCAGCATCCATTGCACATTGGCTTGTCATCACCCGGAACGGCCACATCCGAACAAGCCGATGGGGCCACTGGCTCTGAAATTGGCTCTGGGATCGGGTTTGGGGTAGACTCTTGGACCGATTCAGGAACGTGGACGACCGGCTTGGTGATCACCTCGCGCTGAATCTGAGTAGGTAGGGCGGGGTTGAACTCCAGCGCTGACTGATCACGAGGAGCAATAGTCTCAGTAGTACTGTTTGTGACAACACCGTCCTTGACAGTCCTCTTGATCAACCAGTGGCCTTCGCCGCGGCAAGATGCGCCAGAACCGACACACTGTAGGCACAAGTCATAGTCCCCGTTCTCGCAAATGCTGCAGTGATAATGCGCATTTGCAATAGATCGACCACAGTGATTGCAGTCAATGCAGAACATTCCGTTGGATGAGGCGTGGGAGATAACCGGGAACTGATGCTTTTCTTGGTCCATCTCGAAGGGGCGGTAGCGAGGTTGACCGAGAGGCAACTGTTTCTCACCCGTGGGATGAGGAACCTCGGCCGAGTCTACCAGGGGGATATTATTGGGAGGCGCCAAAGGGCTCAGGACCGTTTCGAGATAACTGTGACGAGTTTGGTTGGTTGACTCCATTGGCACAGTGGGTTCTGATGGTACTGGTGTTGGTGCCGATGTGTTTGGGGAAGTGAGAGTAGTAACCTTGATACGGAGTTTAGATTTGGCCTTGGCAGCCCGGTAGAGTTGCTTGTAAACTGCGATGTTGTCACAGTCCAAGCGGACGTAAGAGCTAGCACTGTCGGAATAGCGTTCAAGGATGACGTTGACATCCGCCGGAACGCCGAGGAGTGTTCTTAGCTAAACCCAAAACAATTAAGTTAGCTTGCGAGAAACAAACAATGTATGTTCTTTTGCTGACAGGTAGGAATAAAATATTTGGACATGAAAATTGATTTGATGATCGCTGAAGATAAGGAATGGGGTCGGACTACAGATCCGGAGCTTGAGCTCGAGTGGAGACTTACCAACTGTGGAAACACCTGGGCCTTCAGCTCCTTGAGAGGAACCTTGAAGCGACGGTTACTGTCATTGTAGAGTACCTTGACAGTAACCAGATGATCTGGACCCGAATGAGAAGCAGTCGATGGGGTTGTCATCGTAGATATGAAAGTGAGAGAGGGTGGATACACCTCTGAGATAAGGCAGTAGTCCTAGGATGGGAAAAGGACAAAAAAAAACACTGAGTTACTAGTAGGAAAGAAATGCTAGAAGAGAAAATGATGATGATTTATGATGGAAAAGAAAAGAAGCAGAGAAGTGTCTAAGGAAATAAGAGGGGAGTTGTACAAGAAGCAGTCGAACTGGGAAAAAGCGGAGAGAACGGTCAGCTGCTTGGGAACTGAGAAGGAAGGCGGTGAATGCTTACATCTATTACTAATGTGACGTGGAGATGCCAAGACTCTCTGTTCTTTTATGTATACTCCATACGAAGTACTCTATGACTTGTTATAGTATTGCTTTTTTTTATTATTATTCTCAAAATGCCCTATAAAGGGACAAAAGAATCAAATAGAAAACAGGACACGAAACATGATGTCATGCACTAATAACGGAATTCCATCGCCCGATTGGAGGAGATTGAGGGGGTTGAAGGGGGGGAAAAGGGCTAGAATCAATACGTGATTCCCCTATGCGGGGAAAAAGGAAAACGCTCATATGCATCAAAATCCAGGGCCAAAATGAGTCAACAAAATTAGGAAACAGGCGTAAAACTTGGCTAGAGGATGTGTGGATGCAGATTATAAAGAAAAAGAGGGGGAAAAATAAGCAAAGTGAAAGACCCCTGTAGATCCTGGAGTTGAAAGGAAACCGAGGGAAAATTGAGAGAAATTTGAGCACAAAGAGAGAATTGGTTGAAGATGAGGTGGATCCAAAAAAAAAAAAGATAAAAAAAAAGATAAAAAAAAAGATAAATGAAATAACAAGCGCCCGAGGTCATTTATCACTGCCCATAATATTGACTGGATTGTTGAGGGTAGTAAAAGGTCGTGCCTGGCGGTGTCATCATCCCACCTATGCCAACAACACCCCCAGGCCCGGACCCTGGTGCGGGTGGTGCGGGGCCGCCGTACATATGATTGGCATCGTAAAAGTAGACGGTGCCACCAGACTCATGAGCAACGGTACCCGGTTGAGGGGGCTGCTCCCCGGCTGAATAGGGCATTGCTTGGCCCTGGAAGTTTGGCGTAGAGGCCTCGGGGCCTACGGGTCCATTGTAACCCGTGAAATCGGGACCTGAAGTCGGGTAGTATATGCCACCTGAAGGATAACTTGGAGGGTAGAAGCCAGGCTGAGGGTAATTGTAAGGTTGAAAGGGTGGTGCATGGATCGCGCGCTCCGGAATTTGGGAAAGCGGAGTGGCCGCAGGCTGGCTGGGTGGGCCATGGACTGGAAGAGGGACCTGATGGTGGAAAGGCTGCTCATGCTGAGGCTGAGGCGGGTTGAATGCGAACGGGAAGGTCGCAGGACTTTCAATGTCCGCAACAGAGACAGTTTTCTGAGGACGAGGTTGGTGCATAGGGATCGGGGCGGGACGGCTTTCGCGATAGGCCGGGTGAGGAAGGGACATAGCCATCGCAGGCCCAAATCCTGGGATCCCTACAGGGGGACGAGGTGGAGGGGGAAGGCGGACAACGGGCTTAGCATCGGTGAAAATCGTGGGTCTGGAGTAGACAGAACCAGCAGGTGATGGCCATCCATCCTGAGAAGGTGGCATGCCAAACGAAGATCGGCGGCTGACAACGCTCGGTGTGTAAGAGGAGTTGGGGTAGTAGCTGGGACGTCGTCCACTGTACCAGCCGCCACCGCGACCACCTCGGCCGCGTGAGACTTGGTTCGGCCGCAACGCCCGGGGAATGAAGATAAAGGAACGCTCAACCGAGGGGAATATGTATCGCGGCGGTTGGCTGGGAAGAGAAATTCGCACCGGTTTGTCGCGTCGCAAAGGGGGTCGATGTTGAGGTAGCCGGGTGTGGAGTTTCTTAGGCACGGAAGGGAAATGGATGGGATTAGCCATGCCGGGCAAGGAAACAACAACAGGTACATTCCCAACTAACGTTGTGCTAGAGAAGGACCGGTTGGGCGGGGAAGATCTCGGGGCCGTGGGGACGGATGCGCCAGGATCAGGCATTGCGGATGGTGTTGGGCGTTTTGCTGCAGGTCGATCCTCGCCGGCTACGGTATCGTGGAGGTCATGTGCCCACTGTCCTCCGCTGGCATCAGGCTTGGAAGATCTGAACCGTGTTATTAAGAAATAGGATCTTGGATGTGGAATGGAACATAACATACCGACGGGAACTGCCGTCTACGATCAGGCCGTAGGGACGAGACTTGCTCTTAAGCCGGTGACCGTTGTCGGTAGATCGCTTGTCATGAAGGAAAAAGCTGCCGCGAGTGGGGACGAAGGCTGGGTTCTGCTCTCGTTCCTTGATATACTTGTCATTCTCGCGGCGCTTTCTAGAAGCCAAATTGTTTCGATTTGGTTCGGTTGGAGGGGCAGAAGGCGTTCTTCCAGTGTGAGGCTCCCGTTGTTCCTTTAGATCGTCGAAATGAACCTCCGCAGCGTCGGAGACCTTCAGGCCGTTCAACATTGCTTCTGTATCCGAAACCGTTGTTTTGAGTCCTCTTTTTCCTGGTGATACAGAGTTGTTCCGTGTAAATTTTTCCACCCCACGACCGTTGACCTTGTCCGCCTTACCCAACGTAGAACCCTCGTCCTCGCTCTCTTCACTGACTTCTCCGTCTGCATCTTCGTCCTCTTGGTGGCTGTCGACCGAGCCTTCACTCAAGGAATCATCACCTATGTCCCCGGCTATTGAACCCTCTTCTTCGCCATCTTCCTCCCGTCTCTTTCTGCGGCTGGCCCCGATATGACGTCGAAGAGGAGCCATGTTGGACATACAAGGGATTAATCACTGGTAGGGTGGCTTAAGTGTTCCTTGTTGACACACGGTTGACTAAATCGTTATCGGGACCAGATTGAATCAGAGAACGCAATCTGGGGAAGACAGCGGGCGTTGAAGGACGATAAACTGGTGGAATAGCAAACAAAATCAAGAAAGATCAAGATACCAAGGTTGGCTAGAAGAAACAAAAGACACCTTGTGCAAGAAGACTAACCAAAGTAAAGAGAAAGAAAAAGAGCAAGGGGAAAGAAGAAAGGAGATGCAGCCCAAGAGAGATGAGAAGCACAGAAAGAGTCGAGTTCAGAGGAAGGGCATGACATCGCGAGAGACGTCAGGCCTGATCGGGCTTAGCTCAGGCGGTGAGGCAGTCTAGATCAGGCGGTGAGACAGTTTCTGCCATGATTGGGCCTAGAATTGTTGTTACTTGATTTGGTTAGTGCCTGGCGAACTAAATATTGACCACTATCGAAGAATTTGAAAAAGAATATTGGGATTGTGTTCAAATTTTCTTGATTTTTGCTAATTACGAGGTTGCGCCTTAATATGCAAGCCGGAGGTTGTGGCCGGAAGTATACATGCATTTCCTTGCGCATTCCACTGCAAGTTGTGCCACCGAGTAGTGGACTCGATGATCATGGATATCCGACAGATCGTACAAATATTGAAAATTATGACCCAAAGGCCCCGCTTGAGTTACAAGGTAGACCGCGGTCGGAGTTTGATCCCAATATCAAGTCGATTACAGGCAGGTAGATCATTGACAAGTATCAGAATTTCACTGATACATTTGTGAATGAGATGATTGAATGGTCCTGTAAAGAAACCGCAGATGATATTCCACGAATGCAGACAAATAGCCTAGTCAAAAGTGGTCTTCTGACCTTGGGCCTCGACAATGGCACCACTGAGCTTCTGGACGGTTTCCTTGGAGTAACGAGACTCATCGATGGGTTCAGGTCTCTTCTTGTTGTACCGGGGTCTTTCTCGCGATTCGCCATCGACTTCGGTGATAGCGGGTTCATCCTTCTTCTCGGCATCTTTTCCAAAGCGCTTCTTGTATCGTACAGACGCTTCTTCGGCAAACTCCATTCGCATACGACGACCCATGAGCTGGTTCACCCAAACCCTTTGCATCCGGGGCTTTAGCTTCTTTGACTTCTTCTTCTTCTTCTCAGACGCGGAGTCGGAATCAGAACCACTGTCGGAAGAATCCTCTTCCCCGTCGTCCTCCTTGATCAACATGAATCCTCTCACCGCTGCTTCTGCGGCAGCGAGTTCTTCAAACTCCACCCACGCATAACCCTTGCATTTTCCTGAGTCTTGGAAAGTCGCCATATGCACGTTGGTAACAGTTCCGCATTTGGCGAAGTTTTCCTCGAGGTTCTCCTTGGTCACATCGAAGCTCAGGTTGCCGACAAAGACTCGCTTGGAGGGAGGGTGGCCAGACTTGGCTGTGGCATTCTCAGATTTCTCGGATTTCTCAGGGCGACCTTCATAGCTGTTTGCATCCTTGATGAGCACACGGCGGCCGGCCATGAGCTGCTCGCTTAGGCCAATTGCTTCTTGCAGGGACTTCTTGTCGGTGAAGTCAACGTAAGCAAAGCCTTTGTTTTGCGGCCTTCCAAATCTTTCAGGGCCCTTGGGAAGATTGATTCGAGTGATATCCGACTCGGAGATGTCAGAGTTGACTGTGAAGAACATGCGCAGCTCTTCACTGGTCACTGTGAAAGATAGGTTTCCAATCCAAATACCATATTTGGACCGCTTCCCCTCTGTTTCGGTTTCTTTCGATTCGGGTTTGCTGGACTTGCTGGACTTGGGTTTTTCATTATCTCCCTCATCGCCTCCCTTGTTCTTTTTCGCTTTGCGCAAAGCTTTTTTTGAGACTGGCTCTGGTGCAGAGACATCGATTTCAATCTCAGGGCCGTCCTGCAGCTTACGCTTCTTTTGACTGACTTCAGTGATTTCCGACATGGCGCGAGAGGTGTAATATGATGTGATAACCACTCAAACAATAGTCAATCAGAAGCCTGAGGTTGTCACAGGAAATCAGATTGCCAAATTAATTTTTTTTTACGGCGGCCAGGACCCGCCTCCCACGCAGCCGGGATCCGCTTCTTGGCGCGAACGCGCAGGGTGACCACATCCCCCTTCATCTCTTCTGAACTTCTTCCCGCCATAACACCATGGCAGAACCAAATGATAACCGTTTTACCGAAAGTTTGCTAAATGTACCTTCTGTACCGGCCCCTGCAAAGCAATCAGTCCGATCTTTCAAGTACGAGACCTCCCAATCAGCCCATCAGACAATGCTGACTCTTTCTCTTTTTCTATCCAGAAAGAAATATGCCAAGCTGAAAGTCAGATTTGAGCTAGCATCTCGGGAGAATGAGAGTTTGATCCGAGAAGAATTGCGCATCGAGGACCTGTCTAAGCGCATTCAGGAGCAAAACGAGTATGAGATTTACAAATCACCCCCCTTCCTATATAAATGGTTGCTAATTTCCCGCTAGTCAATTGCTGGAGGTTCTCCTCGAGTTCAACGAAAGCCTACATGTTTCTCCCGATGTGCGATTCGATTTGAGCATGCCAACCGACCCCCCTCCCTTGCTACCAACTCCTGAGCAGGAAATTGTACCTTTGATCAACGATGCGACACTAGCAAAACAAGCATGGAAGGAAGCCAAAGCTGGCTTGGTTGCTGGTAGCATTGATACGGGTGCTTACCGTATGATTGAAGATAACATCAAACGAAACAAGGCGTTTGCACCAGCCCAGCAGTATAGCTCTCTATCACAGACCCATCACATCACTCCAGACACCGTTGAAAAGAAGCACGACAATGATTGTGAACGCAAACTTGGTTACTTTACACCTGAGCATGAGACTGAGTATTACCTTGCCTTGGACGCCAAGCTAGGCGATGAGGCGGCTGCTACGCAACTTGCACGCATTCCAGATCGTCCTACGTTTGCGGAACGTGAGCGCGATCTTTCCATGCGGAATCCAGCATCGGTATACAATTGGCTGCGTCGCAATCAACCACAGACTCTCCAGGATAATGAGATCGCTTCTGAAAAGTCTGCGTCACGCCCTTCCAATCAGCGATCTTCTAAGCGGGCGCCGGCTCAGCGCAAAGATGAGGATATGTATGATGAGGATGGAACAGAGGCCCAGCCTACTCCCAAGAACAAGCGCAAGCGCGAAGAGGACACTGGTTATCGACCCAAGGGTGGTAGCAGCCGGTCGAAAAAGAAGAAGGAAGAGCCTACTTCTAACCCAAGCAAAGTGGGCAAAAAGCCCTGAGCAAATTCCAGGATTTCTCTTTAAAGGGATTCATTTTTTTTGTGTATTAATACCGGCGTTGACTTGATCCACTGGCTTCAAATGATATGATGGATCATTAGCATTTTCAAATTTAAATTATACATGTAGTCATGTGGATCTGTAGCCTCTAGGAGTTATATAAATACTACTCTAATATCCAACTTTCTTTTAAATATCCTTGACAGTCCATGGCTATAGTGGAGTTATCACGTGACCTGGATTTTCTTCTCTGGTAACCCATCTGGACGCTCTCCGCTCCCATTTGGAAGTCAACCGCAATCAATCACAGACAACATCCTTTGTAATGGCGATTACAATTCTTCCCCCAGTGATAGAGGACGCCCGTCCCTATGAAGTCGACTCAGATGACTCCATGTCCATGGACTCTGAGGATGATGTCGAAATGACTGGTGTCTCTCGACCTCACAAGCGACCCCGTTTACAAGGAAACTCGAATATCGGCACAGGGATTGTTACACCGGGAGAAGTGGTCACAGATGATCCGCAATGGATGAGGTTGGTGCAACGTTGGAGACCGCAAAGAAGAAACAAACGCGGGGCTCATATCGTCTTTTTTTTTTTCTTCAACACTAACAATCTACAGAGGTCATGGCACTTATATGAACCCGCTCTCGACATCTATCATTGCTACCGTTGCTGGTACAGTTCAAAAGACCAATAAGCTACTCTCCGTTCACCCTATGCGCGCCCGCTATACCCCCGAGATTGGAGATCTGGTCGTTGGTCGCATTGTCGAAGTGCAATCACGACGCTGGAAGGTCGATGTCGCCGCGCCGCTACTTGCCCAGCTCCCTCTTTCCGCAATCAACCTGCCCGGCGGTATCCTGCGTCGACGAACAAGCGCCGACGAGCTCCAGATCCGAACATTTTTCAGCGAAGGCGACCTCGTAGTTGCTGAAGTGCAAAGCGTGCACCAGGATGGGTCAGCGTCACTACACACAAGATCCTTGAAGTACGGTAAGCTTCGTAACGGTGTATTCCTTGCCGTCACAGGAACCGGAGGCAGCGGAGTGTCTAGCTCTAGCGTTAAGGGCGGTGTCGGGGCTGTGACTTCGGCATCAGGCGGCGCTTTGGCTGCTCCTGGAGGTTCTGGTACTGGCGGTGTGGTGCGGTCTCGTCGACAGGTGTGGACTGTCCCCACTTCCAATGGTGGTGGCGAGGTGGATATTGTCCTTGGAGTGAATGGGTATATCTTTATCTCCAAGAATACCGATGGGGCAGATGCCGCGTCCTCGACCACGGAGAATGTCTCCATTACGCGCATGGAAGAGATGGTGTCGAGTTCGATTTACTCTAGCCAGAACGATGATATCCCTCCACAGACCCGTCGGGAGATTGCACGGTTGGCACAGTGTATTCGAGTTTTGGTACAAAGTGGAGTGCGTGTGGATGAAGAGACGGTTATGGGTGCCTACAATGCTAGTCTCCAGGTGGATCTGGAGATTGGCGACGATGAAGACGAAGAAGATGAGTGGCGACAGGAAGGTCGTGAGTATCTGGAAGGTGCTAAGGCGCAGCAGATCCTCGAGTTGGTAAAGCAGCAACTGTAACAGGTTCTAACTACTCGGATGTACGATAATGATACCCCTCAAACAAAGATACAAGGGAACACTTAGGTGTGTCAAAATCCATGTCCAAACCATAAGATTCTTATAGTCTTCTACTCCAAAGTATATAGATGGGGTTCTGTCTTCCAAAAACGGGTTTATATAGCTCCATACCTAAACTTGGAAGTGGAAGCCTCTGCCGCAAGAACCAATTGGAATCAATGTTGTAAGAAATGGGGTTGACAGCATTGTACTGGCAAATAATAACAATTTGAATAACCTGAATAATCCGAACTATAGAACAATAGAACAATAGCATCAATAGATATCTGATTGGTGGAAAGTCAATAAAAGACATCTGAGCTTACATACGCAGTCACGAGTCCCGAGGTCAAAGGGTCTATTGTTTCTATTCTTTTCCTTTTGCTCTTCTTCTTTCACCTGTACTCGAATCTTTGAGAACATGCCCAACTACTTACTACTGACTCTTCTAATTTTCGACTATTGTCCAGTACCCATAGGTTAACCTTTTTTTTATTTCTATCGGGTTCCTATTGGGTTCCTTTTTCTCTCTTTCTTTCACCTATCTCATATTTCAAAATGCCCGATCTACGTCGTCAGGTCCTGGAGAGTGGCAAGACTATCTCGCGCAAGGCAGCTTCCCGCGAAGCATCCCGCACCAACTCCCCCGCCAGTTCAAAACCCGCCTCACGCCAGGGCTCTCGCAATGCAAGCAGAGCTCCCTCAGATGAAGAAGACTCAGGATTCCTCTCTGATGAAACATCTATGAGGTAAGTGACATACAACTTCTTGCATTCTTTTTTTTTTTTTCTATTTCTCTTCCAAGTTTCTTTTTTTTCTCTTTCTTTTTTTTTTTTTTATCTTCACATGGTCCCCACTCCCGTGGCGGGATGATGTCACCATGTTTTGGCAAGTTTTATAATCAAGTCACTAACCAAATTGGGACAGTATCGGATCTCTTGACGATGAGAACCCCGAACAAGATAATCCCGATTGGGAATATGATCTCAGCCAGCGCATTCAAGAAATCCTCGATCGCAAACGCAGCAGTGTTCAAGGCCGTGAGGAGGCCCTGCAAGCATTCTGCCGCCTGACCAAATACCACTATACAGTGGAAGAGATCCATGGCGCCGTTCCAGATCTATTGGCGGCATTTGAGCGAAGCGTCCGCACCGAGGTCAGTGTACGCGAAGCAACACTTGGCTTGCGCGCTATTGAATTGCTTGTCATATCAGCTTTCGACAGCACCGTCTACGAAAACACCGAGCCATTGCTCACTCGCACTATCCGTGACTCCGCATCTCCTCTTGTCAAGACAGCCGCTATTCACTGCCTCGGGGCATGCACTATCTTCGGAGGTGCCGGTGAAGACGGCATCCTTGAACAGATGGGTTTCCTCCTGGATATCATTGCCTCTGACGGCCAATCCATCGATGCCACAGACGACCCCACCATTGTGACCGCCGCGCTCCAGCAATGGGGATTCCTCGCTACCGAGGTCGACGATTTCGAAGAAGAAAGTGAAGAAGCAGTTCAAATCTTCATGGACCAACTCGACAGCTCTGATTCCAACGTGCAGATCGCAGCAGGCGAGAACATTGCTCTCCTCTATGAGAAGAGCTACACTCCCCAAGAGGAAGAAGAAGACGAGGAGAGTGCAGGCTCAAATGAGGAGAGTGATGATCACGAGCATGATGCCACATCTGGTCCCAAGCTCGTGAAACGATACAACGCGTACCACAACACTCCCGAGCTGGAGAGCCAACTTCAGAACCTTGCCACCATCCACGGCAAGCAGATCAGCAAGCGCGACAAGAAGTCCCTCCATAGCAACTTCGCTTCGATTCTCACCACTGTTGAGAACCCACGCCGCGGTCCTCGCTACAACACCGCCATCGACCAGAATACCAACCGCCACTATGGTAGCACTCTGACCGTCAAGATTGGCCGCCACGGAGTCATGACTATCGACCGCTGGTGGAAGTGGGTGCGACTCAATGCTCTCCGCCGCATCCTGCAAGGCGGTTTTTCGGAACATTATTTCCAGGGTAACCGTTCTGTTCTCAACAGTCTTCCTGTCATGATGCGCATGGCAGGCCAGGGTCACGGCTCGGTGGACCGCCAGAGTGCACGCAAGGCAGCCAAGCTGCGAAACTCGCGCCGCTGGACTACTCATCAATCTGATGATGACGAGTAAATACTCTTCATGCTCATATCAGCGATGGCTCAGTCATGGAATGACGATTAAAAGAAGTCAAATGCTTTTCAGTTTCGCATAAGCCTTCGGTTATGAGCTTTGTTTTTACTTTCTTTGTGTCTCTGCATCTGTCTCTTCTCTACTTTTCTACTTTTGTTTTGTCTCTATCCATGACTTGTTTTTCATGATTGAACTATATGCCCAACGAAACTACAGTGTTCTTACAATAGTAAGCCGTTCACGATAGATTCAAAGTAAAAGTCAATATTTATCTTTACATGGAGTGAAGAAGGTTCCTGCCCAAAACACCACGACCGAAGCCCTATCTCACCTTTATAGTCTTGGCTTCGCATGTCCAGTGGAATATCTAACACAAGTTTAATCCTCAAACACAGGAACAACATTAGACCAGCTCCCCCTAGCCCTCTCGTCCCAATACCCATCCTTTCCACCCTTAAGCCGCCAAGCAACCTCCCCATCAGAGTCATCACTAACCCGCGTAAACCAGCGCGGAATCCAACTCTCCCCAGCATTTTCCATCTCGCGCCTGCGCGCACGCTGTCCTTCCTCAAGCTGCACTTTAATCTCCTCCGCGTGGTCGAGGTCACCGTTTTCCAGTGCGCGCTGATCAGGACGCAGACGTGAGTCCGTGACAGGCAAATGCTTATCCTCGATCGAGGTAATTTCATTTAGTGTGGCCGCAAAGGATGTTAAACCGTAGTGCTTGGGCGCGGAGGGGACAAGTGAACCGGCTGTCCAGATAGTGTTACCGGTTGGGTTACCGTCGCGAGTGAGAGTCAGGGAGGAGGGCCAGGAGCCAGATAAGCCGAGGGGTAAGGGGTTGCAGTTTGCGTCAATGACACGGGTAGAGACTTCCTCGCTGCGGCCGGAGAACATGCCACCGGCTTTGAAAGTTGAGATGGAGCGGTGGCCGGAGGATTCGTTTGTGACGGCGAGTTCGCCGACGGGTTCCACGTATTTCTCGCCTGCAATGATATTGCGTAGGAAGGATGTTGCCGGTGTCCAGCTGTAGCGGTCGCCGGTGCTGTGTAGGGTAATACGGACACGGCCTTCAGTTGTGATTTCGGCGGATTTGCCCCAGAATTTCTGGCTGGGCATCGGGGACTGCGAGAGGCTCCAATCTTTGCTGTCGGCTTGGTAGGCTAGTTGTACAGGCCGATGCGAGACTTTTTCTGCGATGAAGCGGAAGCCTCGGTCTTCGCGGACGAGCTCGTAGGTCTCGCCTAGCATTGGGTTGAATGGTTTGCGGATGGAGCGCTCGCGGACGCGGTTGCTGGAGAGGGAGGATATTGCGAAGGCGGTTACGTACATCAAGCGCTCGACGGGGTCTGTGCATTGGGCAGCGCGGTCAAGCAGATTTGAGTACTCCAGGACCTCGGCGGCGCGTTGTAGGAGAGACATGGGCTCGTTTGCAGACACGGGCATCGAGATCGTGGACAAGTCCTTTCCGACGTTCTTGCGCAGGAACCCAATCAAGCTTGGGGGCATGACTGTTGGGGCAAGGATGTTCGCCCGACGTTTTACGGGGTCTAGGGGTAGCGGAATCAATGATTTGGCTTTGGCTGGGAACAGGCCCAATGTGCTGCTGCTTTCCTGGCGAGTTGCTGCCGCATCGGATTCACCATCGCTGTCAGAGGGGGCGTCGTCCTCGACTTCCTCGGCAGCAGAGGCGGGCCGGTCCTCTTCGGGACCTTCGTCGTCGCTGTCACGGATGGTCAGGAGGGGAGACTTGTCACCGTTTCCATCTGTTGCATCAAAGAATTCCTGCGACATGTCAGACTCCATGCTCCGCCGGGGGACCATAGATGGCTGAGGTGGGTGCCGTCGCTCCTTGCTCTCGGTAATCAGTGTGGAAAACTCAGAGACCGCATGGTCAAGATCGCGTAGCACCGCCATCAAATGATCATGGATCTCATCCATGCTGTCTGTGTGACTGGTGATACTGGCAGGCTTCCCCTTACTATCACTAGCAGGCACTGCAAGCTGCGAGGAACTGGAGTTTGTTGTCGTGGCTGGTGGTCGCTTGCTGCCGGTATGCGACTGTCCACTTGTCTTGCGCTTCCAGAAGGACCGCTTGGCCTCCATTTCACTGGGAGCAGTCTCATGGGTACTGCGCTGTGGACTAGGGGAGCGGCCACGTGAACGGGGCCGGTCGATAGGGGTTGGGAGCGGCGAGGCAAGATACTTGGGGTCTGTATCCTTGGCAAGTCGGCGTATCGCATCTCGCGATCCAGAAATATGGCTGACAAGGCTCTCAACACGGGTCCATTCACTCTCCTCCGCCGGGGAGGGCTGCGTTGGGGCGTAGAGACGCAGCTCAGGAGGGACAGCTAGGTTTTTATCCTTGGAAACTTCCTTGGAGGAAGCTCTCTCGAGAGCACTCTTCCACGCGCCAAATTCATGCTCGTTATTCGCACGCAGATGCCATATCTCAGTACCGGAATCAATAGAAATCTCACGGGACTTTTCATTGGTCGCAACGGCCGCTAGCGAGAGCGGAATCGCGCCTCGCAGTGCGGACGAGTTGCGGTCATGATAGTATGACAGGGTGCATGAAGTAAAGTCCAGCGAAAAGTACCGACGTGCCCAGCCCTGGTGGCGCTTACGTCGCCGCTTCTGCAGTATTCCCGTGTGGACATTTAGGTTCGACACGTCAATGTGCAGCGAGTTAAGCGTGGCTCGACTGTTGCCACGTCGGCGGGTCTTGGACTGCGGCAGCGATTCGGTTGAGACCCCTGGTTGAGTACGTGAGGTTGCGATCGATGCAGAGCTATGTGGCTGGAGACCAGTCGGATAGGTGAGGAGAACAAGTGTCAAGGTCTTGGAGATTTGCTTGGAGAACGTGTTATCGAAAACGAGCGCATAATTACCCCCTTCGCTAGGCGGTACATCGTATGTCCCCTGTGTGATCTTGTCTGCCTCACACTTGCCCGTCCATTTGATTATTTTGAGCCCAATTCCCGTCAGCTTCTCGATAACGGCAGATTGTTGCCGCGCGCCGGCAGCTCCCGCAGTTGCGGGGAGGTTCTCGGTGGAATCGGTGCTCTGGGAATCCGAGGCAGGGATATGGGAGCTCAGAGAAGAGGATTGGCCCGGGTGTTTGAATATGCCAAAGTTGACGGACTTCTTATGCGGTTGAATACTCCAAGAGATGGTGTGGTTGGCGCTGACATTGATCCAACGTACAAAGTAAGACTAGAGATATCAGTTGAGACCAAGTCTTTTTGCTGTAACAAACCCTACCTTGCTGTGAATCTCCAGCTCTTCCATGGCCGCCATAATTGCACCGTGAGGGTTTGTAAGAACCGCAATGTGTCCGTCGTGGTCCGGGTGCGGCTGAATGTGGCGATGCGGGGGGACAAGCCACACTATACAAATTGATGTCACAGGAACATTCACGAATTGTGTTAATTTAACTTGAAAGGAGTTGAAATACAGGGAAATCTGTAGGAGAGGGGTGATGGAACAAGTTGAAGCCGAGCCGAGGAGTTCACATGGTAGATCTCATGTCTTTCAGCTCTAGCTCTTTCAGCCTATACAGCCTATATGGTCTCTACTGTAGGTAACTCCACAAAGTCGCTTGAAATTCATTGATAATGGTTACATGCCGGGCGTCAAAGGTGTATCAAATTAAAAAAAAAATATGGAAACTCCATCCCATCTTTTATGGGATTTTGGGATTTTTGGAATAGATAGTACACTGTACAGACGAGAAACACCTATCTCCGGCCACCCTTGCTCATGTTACTGAACATCAGCTTAAAGCCGTTGCAAAGAGCATGCATGTCCGGGTAGGGGTTCTTCTGCAGTTCATAGCCCTGTGGAATCACCTTGACCGGCCAGTTCTGAAGTCGCGCGTGTTCGCCTGCCTTGAAGCAAAGGAAAAAGTAACCGGGGTATTTGGCATTGATGCAGAATGCATATGCCGAGCGGCGAGGGTTGGCCTTGGTATAGGTCTCGAGCCATTGATCTATTAGATGTTAGTTGGATGCTAGTTGAATGAATAAATTGTCAAAGACATACCTGTCTCGGTCTTGTTGCCATCTTGGAATTTCTCATGCAGCATCATCTCGCCCACCTTCTTGGCCATCGCTTTGACATGGTTGACGATCAGGTCATCCAGATCGCTGTAAGTATAACGACCACCGACCTTGAGGACACGGCCGACAGAGAACTCGTTCTCTTTATCTAGCTCGAGAACATCGATATGCTGGTACACACCTTGTGCCACCTTCCAAGTGACAGCTAGGTGGTCGTGGCCTCGGGAGGAGGGACGAATAACAACATCGCCTGGGCTCTGGGAGCCTAGGAACTCCTCGGCCTGGGTGGAGTTGAAAGGCCGGAAAAGCGGGTGTTTGATGACACGCATTGCTTGGCCGCCACGCTGCGTCTTCTCCTGCAGCGACTCCCGATCGGCTCGCTCCTGCTGCTCATCCCAATCGCCGAAGCCGTGTTCCTGGTTCCGGCGTGTTGGATTACTAACCTGATCCTCGCGCAGAGAGACGTTGCAAGAGAAAGCCTTGCGGTTCAAGAACAAGATCTTGGCCGGGACGGTCTGGTGGACTTGGTACGCGTTGCGTACAGGGATGTCGTAGGGAACACCGAGTTCGGTTTCGGCCACAAGCACATCAATTCCGCAATCCAATTTGGCCTCAATGTGATCCTCAAATACCCGCTTAATGGCAATGGGCACCACCATACCAGGTGTTAAGGAGTCAGGCGTTTCGCCGGTGAGCATTGTGAAAATATCATCGGTGCTGAGGAAAACATAGTGCTTGCGCAATTCCTCGTAGGGTTGTTGCAACTCCGCTCGGATCGTCTCAAGGGTAGCACGCTTGCGCTGATTGAGGTTTCTCTCAAGCTGCTCTGCGTACTCCTCTAATATGAGATCGTTGACACGGTCCTGTGCCTCTTCCCTGAAAAGTTTTCGCATGATAGCACCCGTGCCGTTCTCGTCAGTCTCGGCCTTGATATCTTCCTCGTCCAACTCCAATGCATCAGCGGCCATCTTACGGGCAATATCATAGTCTTCAGGATGAACGCGCGTGTTGTCCAGCGGATCGGCATCGGGATCAGCATTCTCGAAGTCGATGTAGACGAAACTAGCACAGTTGTTCCAAACTTTAACACCCATAGCCGGATATGTCGCGTTGACACCAAGCAATTCCACCCGGTTGTTAACGACTCCGCCGTTCATATTGACAATCTTGAGTAAGTGAGCCGCCTTTCGGGGGCCCAGTCCACAGACATACGGCAAGAGATTAGCTGTTGCCGTGTCGGCGACTGCCTCATTGAGATCAACGCCGACGAGGTTTACCATGTCCACTAGGGCGGTTTCCAGCTGCTTGAGAAGCAGGTCCTGGGAGACTAGTTGCTGGCCTGGTTTGAACTGGATGGAGACAACGTCACGGCCCAAGGAGGCATATTCCTTGAGGGGGCTCTGCAAGTACCGGCCGAGAGCCACACAGTAATGGGTCAAGGGTCCAAAGCCTGGATTGTCGCTTCTGGCGCGAGGGCTGTTGTGGTACAATCGGGCAACCTCATCATTGACAATGACCACCTCCAAGGGGTCGCTGACCTCCTCATCGTGCTCATTTGTGTAGGATGCACCACGCATGTCTTTCTGGTCGACAATTTCGGATATAAGCTTGTACAGGCGGCGCGTCTCTGGCGTCATACCTGAAACACCGATGACATCTGGTCGACGACGATCCATCAGATCCACAAAGGCGGCCAGGTTTTCACCGTCTGCAATGCCACGGCTTTCATCTCCCACGGAAAGGTCAATGAATTTGCCATTCTCCAAGACTCGGCCATCTTCTTCTGTGTAAGCCCAGTGAATGGGGTCCCGGCCCACCTGACCAGATCCAGTGGAAAGAGTGAGCACACGGGGCACTGTACCCAAGACCATGCCCTTGGGTTTGTAAGGGGCCTGGTCGAGACGTTGTGAAAACGCCTCGCGGCACTCCTTGGCCACATGGTTCTCACATTCCTGTCGAATGTTTTCCTTTACACTGCGGTTGATCAACTTCTCCAGTTTGGCCAAGGCCAGATCCAGCACCTCACGGCGAACACGGTTCCAAGCATCAGCAATCTCACTGTAGTTGTCTGACTCAATGTCGGCGTAGAGACGTGTGCGGAACTGATCAAAGTTCTCGAACCGTACCCGCACATCAACGAGTCCTTCTTCCTCGGCCTTGAGCATGCGCAAGAACATCTCTGGGCGACGAGCGATATCACTTAACTGCTGGTTCCGCAGATATTTGAATTCAGCGTACGGATGCTGCTCATCGATCCGGCGAAGCCCTTTCTCTGTGCGGAAGCAATCAACGACTCCGTTCATGTAGTATGCCTGACGCATCACCTTGCGCATTTTTGGGCTGACAGCAAGCTCTTCAGCGAACATCGACTTAGCGGCTTTGAGGACATGAGAACTGTTGGAAAAGTCGTTGTCGACATACTGATCTGCCAGCACTTCCGGCCGCTGGTTGGGATCGTCGGTGTATTTCCGGCGACCTTCCTTGGACGCATTCTGAGCAAAAGCATCTGCAGAGATGCCGAAAGAACGCACAAAGCCATAAGCCTTGCCATTTCGAACCCGCTCAAAGAAAGATCTACCAGTGGCTTTCCGGCGTTGCGTTTCTCCAGTAGCCTCGCCATTGACCTGGGTGAGATCCCGTAGCTGGGAGGAGTACTGGAAATGGATATAGTCTTGCACATCTTGGAGCTCCTCCATGGTCGCGGCCGCAGCAAGTTGATCCTCGACATTTGAATCGTTCACATTGAAGAGATTTTGCAGGTTTTCATATGTCTTTTTTATTGTACCACGCTTATCGACCAAAGCACGGAATTTGAGATCATGGTCGAAGATATCCCATAGATCGGTCATATTGAGAAGTTTCTCAGCGCGGATACTATATTGGGCGGAGCCGTCGCCGGGATCGGTGTCATTGGCCTCTTTCACAGCGTGAATCATGTAATCCTTGCGATGCTGGAAAATGAAAGGCACTTCCCAGTCGTCCGTGATCAGGAATTCCAACATTTTGGCGACTGAGCGCTGGAATGGTTCGCGCAGTTCAGGATCCATACGCTTCTTGAGCAGCATCAAGTTCGAGATCCAGACTGCCTCCTCCCGGAATTGATCCTCGGTTAATGTCACATGCTTATAGGGCTTGCGAGCAACCTGATGGCGTTCGGGTTCATCGAGGAGACGAATTTCGTTATCATCCTCCGTCAGCATCCTTTCAGCCAGCTCAGACGGTTCAAAGACGTCCTTCAAGTCTAGGTGACGTTCTTCGGTCTGTTTGTCCGCGTCCTCTTGGTCTTCCATTTGCAGTGCGAAATCGTACTCTGTGCCATCACCGAATGCAGCGCGCATATCCTCAAGTGCATTTTCATCCAAGCCCGACGTGTCAGTCGGAATCAAGCCGGTCTTGTTGACTCTGGAAGCAGGCGCAACCCCAAGGTCATCCCGTTCGCGCTGGGCCTCATCGTCGGAGAAAGTATCTTCTTCAATAAAGTCGTCCATTTCATCGCGCAGTCCACGGCGTTGGCCTGGTCTAGCATATTGTTGCGCTTCCTCCTCTTCGTCTGAGTTGAAAATATCATCGACACCATGAGACGGCTGGTGGCTCTCGCGATCCTTGCCTCGCTTCAAGCGCTTAAACTTTGACTATATAAGACTATTAGAATCTTGTCAATTCATGAGCTGCAGCTTACATACCTCAGTGGTTGGTCCACGAAGCTGACTTGGACCATGTCCAATGAGCTCCAGATCTTCTTCATCGAGGTGCTCTTCTTCGCGGGCAGTGCGTGGGCGTTTCCTGTGCTTGCGAGCGGCGCGTTCTTCTTCTTCATCCTCATCAACAATGAAACCTTCACGGACCTAAGAGTTCGTCAGCAAAGAGATACAGCCAGTTTAAGGATCGAAACTGACGGCGCGAGCAGCCTCCTCGTCATCTTCTTCTTCATCTTCCTCCTCGCTCGAGTCATTGTAGGGGCCGGTGGTGCCCGCGCCCTGGCGGCCATCGGCATCATAATCATCGGCGACTTCCTCCTCCTCGTCATCCATGATCGCCTCACCCTCGATCAGGTCGCGAAGGCTCATCTTAAAGTAAAGATCCCTATTGCTAGGGACCGAGGAGAATGCGGGTTCGGATGAAAGATTCAAGATACAATGGCGCAGTTGTGACACCAGGTAGTGCCCAGCTCTTTGAAACGGTCAAAAGTGAAATAGGGAGGGTAAAATTGAAGCAATAGTTGTCAAGAGGAAGAATCACGACCATCGGCGAAGGAGGATGCGGGTGGCGGTGATTGGCTAGTGCTGGTGTGGCTAGACGCTAGTCCTATTGAGGCAGCTTCATTGTGGCTTGAATGGGTAATATCACGTGATATTGTCTTTGTGTGTACATCGTAGATTGTACATCCAACGATGCCCTGGTCAGATCCTCAATATGTATATTACTTTGCACTATTGATATAAGGCCAAGAATATCGAATATGCCAATTTTTAAAACATTGTCATTCTTTTTATTTAGCCCCATAAAACCCGTCGTGTAGAGCCACAAGTACCTAAAGCCAGCCTGAAAGACTGGTGGAACCCCCTGAATGTCCGTTGCTTCATTCATCATAGTGACCTTAGTATTTCAAAAGATCATCTCCTATTTTCTTCCTATAATACCCATAAATACCAACATACTTCTGTTTGGCGCCGACCGGCACATTTTGGTCATAGTTTGTCGAATCGACGCGCCCGAAAGGCCCAATCAGCGTCGCCAAGAACATCGCAAGGTGATATCGGCTTCCCCGCTGTTAGCTTGGGGGTTCGTTCTGACCACTCTGATCCCATCGGCTTGGGTAACGTGGACTTGATATCACTCAGGCGGCTGGGCTCTTTTCTTTCTTTCACAACTTTTCCCTTGTGCAACTCCAACTCCCCCCAACCAAAACGCCATGGCGGACCAGTTCCAGGCTCGTACGTTGAAACGCAAGAATGTCAAAGGTCTTGCTCTCAATGCAGCCCCTAAACCCACCTCCAATCCTACCGATGGTGATGCACAGGCCCCTGGGCCTGTTGGGAATAGTGAAATCAACAACACAGACACGCTCGAAATCGGACTGGAGTTTCGCCTCGATCTTCGCAGTGAAGACCTGGTCACATTGAAAGAACTCGGCGCTGGAAATGGAGGTACTGTTTCTAAGGTGATGCACGCATCCACCAAGGTGGTAATGGCTCGAAAGGTGTGTATTTGTTTACTGTGTTTCTACTTTTTGGTCAGCTCTGATTCCCTCGTCCCCCGCAGATTATCCGTGTGGAGGCCAAAGAAAACGTGCGGAAGCAGATTCTACGAGAACTTCGAGTTGGACACGACTGCAACTGTCCTAATATCGTCACTTTCTATGGTGCATTCCAAAATGAAGCGAGGGATATTGTGCTATGCATGGAATATATGGATCTCGGGTAGGTGAACCGATATGGGAAACAAAAGGGATATATAGCTGACGAACAATTAGATCTCTCGACCGCGTTTCTAAAGATTTCGGCCCGGTTCGAGTCGATGTGCTAGGAAAGATCACTGAGTCGGTCTTGGCTGGTCTTGTCTACTTATACGAAGCCCACCGCATCATGCATCGCGATATCAAGCCGTCCAATATTTTACTTAACTCCCGTGGCAACATCAAGCTCTGTGACTTTGGTGTTGCTACCGAAACTGTTAACTCGATTGCCGATACATTCGTTGGAACTTCCACATACATGGCTCCCGAGAGAATCCAGGGAGGCGCCTATACAGTCCGTTCCGACGTGTGGAGTGTGGGCTTGACGGTCATGGAGCTGGCCGTTGGAAAGTTCCCTTTCGATCACTCCGACTCTGCTGCCGGAAACCGTGCTAGTGCAGGGCCGATGGGCATTCTGGATCTACTTCAGCAAATCGTTCACGAAACAGCGCCCAAGCTGCCCAAGAGTGATGCCTTCCCGCCTATCCTGCATGACTTTGTTGGGAAGTGTCTCTTGAAAAAGCCCGAGGAGCGCCCAACCCCACGGGAGCTTTATGTATGTTTATCTCTCTCTTTAGCCTGCTTCTTTTCGCATGTACTAACTCCTTTCAGGACAAAGATGCCTTCCTGCAGGCCGCGAAGCGCACACCAGTCAACCTCGAAGGATGGGCAGCGAGCATGATGGACCAAGACAAACGCAAGTCCTACTTGGGACCACCAATACCAACATCGCTCTCTAGAGATGCCTCGACGCCAACCTCAAACTCGACCTCCTCTCCTGCAGCTCCCACATCAGCCACTACCGGCAAACCCCCTCTCATCAGCAAGCCAATCCGAACCCCACAGCAGTCACCCTTCCCGTCAAACCAAGTATCAGGCGATATCCCTCTAAAGATCGCCAATGAGGTTCCATCCAGCCACCGTTACTACCCCCAGTCTCAACCCCACCCTCAATACTACTCATCGTCCTCGTCCCGGGCCACGCGGTCTCCGCCACCACCTTCTCTGGAGCATCTCTCGCTGGAATCAAACGATGACGATAGCCGATCCGGTCGTCGTGCGATGCGCCAGCACCTTAACGAGCCTGCTTCTGCCATTGATGCCCCATCCCATCCATTCATGAGCCCCCGCTCGAACAGCTCCAGCAACACCAATCCCCGCACGAACCTGCACTCGACGACGATGCCAATCCGCACCGCACCTCCGTCTGGCCCGCCTCCCCCACCACCTGTTTCGGCAGGCGGAAACTGGCGCATCCAACCAGGCACCACACCCCGGTAATCTGGTAGTTGATCTTGGATATATTTTCCTATTTAGTTTCCCTTGTCATGTTTATGTTCAGATGAATGTGCATATACACATGAAAAGCCGTTGTAATACGATCTCGGCTTTGATGATTGTGCACTGCTATTTTCTTGTCGGCTATGTTCTGTGTATTCATGGCGCTCTTGGATAGAACAAAAAAGAAGCTAAGACAAGCTGCCTTAACAGCAGTCTCTTTTTCTTCCATCTATGAGTATCCCTCTCTTTTTCAATTTTCTTTTTTTCCTTATTCAATGCTTCGATTACATCTGGCAACCCTATTTTGTTTCTGACTCTATCTTTACCTGGGATGTCTTCCTGCATTACACGGCGTACATAAATGCAATCTCATACTCGTTCTCTGGTAGAAACATATGGATCAGCCTTATAACTTTCCAAATCACTTCAGATCCTCAACCAACCTGTGGAATGTTTGCTGTCCAAGTACGTATAAATGCGCCTAGAGGAAAAAAAGCCAACGAACGAACGACCTCGACTGTTATCAACAGGCTCGCCAGAATAAACACATGAGCATCATGAAAACTCTCTCAATCAATTCTAGTATACTTGGTTGGCTTTCGACCTCGAACACCTTCAACCAAATCGGATCCAAGATTTACTTAATCAGATAGGCAAATGGCATGGCAACAGCTGTTACCACCGCGCTCAAACGCCAGAATAGTTTCTCCAGGGCTGTTGGGAACTCAAAGTTCCATGCTACGCAATGGACAGCGTCAAACAGAACCAGAGCAAACAAGCAAGCCATACTCATCACATATCCTGGCACTTTCTTTAGGACATTTCTGTGCGTGGCGTTGTTGGGTATCCAGACGCTGTATTTGGGACCGTAGCCCTGTGGACCAGCATTGGTCATGTCGATCAAGTCTTCTGCGGATGGGCGTTTGACTGCTTTCATGATACATGATGTTCGGACATTTCGGGGCTTATTTATCAACATGATATATGTGATCGAGGAGCACATTGCGAAAGACAAGGTAAAAATCTCGAGCTGGCTTGTGGAGAGATTTCGGCCTAGTCGTACACCGAGCTGAATGAACATCCACCGTTGACGATATCTGAAGTAATGTTAAGGACCTGACGAGGAAGTCACTGCCAAGATCCAGAGAATCCTGTGACAGGTAGGATAGTTTTCCAATGATTCCAAGTTCACGGGCAAGGAGTAGCTGATTCGCATCTACCGCCCATAGATTGCCACAAAGAAGAGTGAGGTTTCCAACCCAGTCCTTGTATGGCATGTTGGACAATTTTTTCTTCCGTTAAGCCCTGAGAAACCATGCTATTTGTTTTTTCAATGGCCAGCATATTGGATCTATCCAAAGCCCAGTCGATTTTGCCAATCACATTCGATATCCTCTTTATTGACTTCTGAAGTGCCTGTGGACTCCGTATTCCCTTCGGAAGATCTTTTATAGAGGGAATCTCTTGAGTATCGGGAGGATCAGAATTTGCAAATTGAATTGGGAATCCCCCCCCCCTCCATGTTGGCGTAGTGTATATGGGATTCAGACCATGGGATGCCATCTTGCTCCTAAATCTCTACAAATCGGGCCTTGAGTTTCCAGACAGAGCACATATCACGACACGCCATTCCGAATACCCATTCTGGTGCGAGAATGTTGATAGTCATCCATTTGAGCTTCTTGGAGAACCGCCAAAGCGTTCGCAGACACTTTTGGCGTTTCTTAAATGGTGTCGACTAGATTAGGACATTTAGACGGAGAGTAGACCATGTGCAAAGGCATATCACACCGAGGCAAGGCCAGACAATATCTAAAGTCCCTTGAGTATTTGCCGAGGAAACAAAGCCTGCCGTCTCTAAAGGGTATGTCCAGTTGCTGTAGAATATCTGCATTCTGCGAATAGCTCTCTAGTCAAAAAGGGCAGCTATGTTGATTTTTGTGCGGGAATTAATAAATAAAATCAAAAGTGCTATGGGCGAAGAAAATAGTTCAATACTAATTATTGTCACTGGTATATTAATCCTTGTCTTATGGCGTATCTAGGCTGTTTACTCCATGAACTGTATAATCGGTTTGTTCCAAGGGCTACTCTGTCACAGTTTCATATATGTTTCAAAGAATCTACGAAACAGATAATACAACAGACTCAATATATGAGGCTGAAGGAGGGCGTCTACAGTGTGACTAGAAACATCTTGACTGGCTGAAAATTTAGATATTCAGCCGTAAAAAACATAACCGAGGTGTACAGAGCTGTGTCCATAAAGCAAACAGTTTCTCGAGACCAGTAAAAAAAAAAGGTAATAGGGGCAAACCCACAAGCAAAATAATAACGCAAATGCATAAAAGTCAGTCCTGAACACCAAACAAACCCCACGACAAATCACATATTTTCTATTTCATCATGAGTTCTGGCCCAGCTAGTTGACTGGGACCAGGGGGTGCATGGCCAACACCCGGGGTCGATGGCGCAGGAGCAAGATCCTGCATCGGGATTGATACAGACGACTTTCCACCTCGAGTACTGTTACTTCCACCGCGGCCAGTGTTCCCAGTGCCGCCACCACGGCCACCACGACTTTCATGGGCAGCGGATGCAGTAGTGGCAGCGCGGTCGCTGCCACCATCGGTCTTCTTGTTGCCCCGCGGGCGGCGTGAGGTGCCACCCCGAGAGCCGGGTCCGCGCAATGGTAGGCCAGTATCTTGGGAGACGGGCACGGCAGCTGCAATAGGAACGTGTGGGTGTGAGGTCACGGTCCGACCCCGACCTGTTCCTCGCCCGCGGCCACGGCCACGTTTGATTGTACCGTCAGCGCTGCAGATAATTAGTATATGTATAGTTAGGGAATAGTAAGTAGACGTACCGTTCCACCTGAACCTTCTCTCCCTCAGGGACTAGTGGCCCGCTGTAGACAAAGAATCCATCCTTGCTGGCAGCAGCCTGTTCCTGCCACACCATTTCGGTGTCATCCACAAACGGATCATCACGGTCATATTCTTCAACCTTCTTACGTCGCTTCTTCTTTCCATCGCTAGCCTCCGAGGGCGCACCGTTGGTTCCCGCCCCAGTGCCGCCCATGGGAACGTCGCCATCCATATCACTATCGCGTTCCGCATCAAGGCTCAGGTCCTCGTCGGCACTCTCGCCGGCAGAGATTCCTTTGGTATTCTTATCATTTCGTTCTAATGCGGCCCCGGCAGCTGCCACACGAGCCATGCGCGCTTTATGAGCGGCCAGACGAGGGTGCAAGGCAGCGAAGCCATACTGCTCTTCTGCAAGCCGTGCAAAGTTGACAATCTGGTTGCCCTTTTGTAGCGGAACATGAACGATGATGTTGGGTGTGCTACGCGAGTCAGGCGACTTTGAAGAATCATCCCCGCCGAACAGCGCGTTTGTGATCAAGCCAGACCCTTGAGGCAGATGGGGGGCTTCTTTGGCGGGTCGAGCTGGCTTGGGAGATGAGGCTTTTGATGCCGGCGCAGTAGCTGTGCTCTTTTCCTTCTTGGCATTGGCTGCGGACTGCTCTTTGTCGATTTCCATTGATTCGGCTGGTTGCTGTTTGGACGGAGGGGACTGCACAGCGGGTTCGGGTTGCGCAGGAGGTTGAGGCTGCCGGATCGCTGGCGGAGACGGTTCATGTTTCGGAGTTTGTGATGGCGTTGGCCGCTGTTCAGTAGGTGGGTATGGGGTGGTGTAGGGGGCGGACTGAGATATGGCCTGCGGGATTTGCATGGCTCCACGAGAAGTAGAGGGAATGGGAAGGGGCGACGGTGCTAAGGGCGTATGTGAGGGTGTGGGAACCATCGCAGGCGGTGCCGGTGAAGAGAGGCCGGATACATGGCCAGAGGAGGAGCGCTGGAGCGGATTGTATATTTGTTGAGAGTTCTGGGCTGGCGGGTCGATAATGCTTGAGATCGCCGGTGATGCACTGGCACGATAAGCATTGCGAGGAGAAACTGCACGAGCAGAAGGACTGTATGACGGTGCTGGAGATGGATTGTCAAACGCAGAGCGAATAGGGTCGAAGTTTTGTCCGCTAGTTCGTTGAGGTGGTGGTTGTGGCACTGGGGGTTGCGATTGCGATTGTGGGCGAGTGTGTTGCGACAGGTGATACGAAGCTCCCGAAGCCGGAGGAGGGCGTGGATTTGTGTAAGCAGTTGGAGCAGATTGAGGAGGGTGAGGAGCCTGAGGAAGTTGAGGAGGTTGAGGGGGTTGAGGGGGTTGAGGGGGTTGAGGTTGAGATATTTGTGTATGTTGAGTAGGCTGACCAGGTTGGGTGGGCTGAACAGGTTGAGGCGTTGTAGGGGCGTATGGAGGGCTTCGGGCGTCTAACGGAGCCCTCGTTTCGTCTGCCGCGGGCTCCAGTTTGGGCTTTTTCCGTGAAGCAGTGTTTGATTTCTCTCTTGGGCGACGAGGAGCTCGGGCCGGTTTTTCTTTAGCCTCTTTGGGTTCCTTGTTCTTCTTTGGATCGGGATCCTCATCCTTCTTACGACGCGACCGCCTGGCGGTACCGGAAGCACGTCGGGCGCCTGTATCAGGTTTGACATCAGTGTCAATGGGCCCTTCTTTAGGTAAACTCATATTAGGAGGATCCGACATAATTTGGGAAGTTCACAACAAATTGATAAAATAACAAAATGGATCAAGATTGTGAAGAAAATCGGGTGGTGAAACGTGTCGGTATCAGGTCTCGGGAAAGCAGAGATTGGGAAAAGGAACACAAGAAAGATAAGATGGTGACGGAAGAGAGAAAATACCAAGAAAACGCGGGAAAAGTGGAAAAAGAAAGGGACGAAGGGAAATTTGTTGAGAGAAAGAGAGAACAGAAACAAGGGAAAAGGGAGAAGAAAAAAAAAAGGGAAAAAAAAGGGAAGAAAGGGGAGAGAGAAAGCAAGCAGATTGGAATTAAAAGCACATTACATCGGCAAAGTACAACTGAACTACAATTTGATATGTCAAAGCTCTATATTTGTAAAAACATGGGGAAATTACTGTATAACTCTTATATAGAAGTTATATCATAGAGCTATATATCTCTTATAATATGTAGAATTCTTTCTTACTATCATTGAATATTGGAGAAATCTCATATTCCATTCCCCTGCGGATCTTTTAGGCTAGAACCGTAAGTTGTACTCTGTACCTGATACAGGGATGGCTTCATTTACCGATCTCGTGTTATTCATGATCAGGTGATCACCATATTTTGAGGTTTAGATCTGATTTGGGCTTTCTATTTCCTTCTTTTTTTTTATATAGATAATACAAGTTAAAGTATAGTATTGATCCTTGTGTATCCCCATGGAGGCTCATTATAGGGACGAATATCAACTTCAATGTTGGTAAATATCATCTAGCTGACGTAGAAAAAGAAAATTTAACATCATTTATTATATACTAGTTAATTAAAATGACCCAATTCAGCATATAATCATTCATTTACAATAATAGAAGATCTAGGCGAGTTGTATAGATGCCACAGATCAATGTGAGGAACCTAATTGGGACTAGCATATCCGCCATCTTCAACTAACCTATTCTGGTTAGACTATTCTGCAGCCCCATTTTAGCTTTGGGAGCCGCATTGGCATCTCCCCGCGCTGACATAACCTTTTTTTTTCTCCTCTTCACAAGTATTCACACATCATGGCTTTTCGCGGTGAACGTTTCCTTCTCGATCTAGATGAAGAATCTGGTACTCCAGAGATACCATCTCCATTCTCCCTCGTCGGTGAGATCCAAGAACGGGCTCCCTCCACCGCCATTCCCCCCGCGCCTAAATTGCCCGCATCATCGACTGGGTTCCCTGCCCCTCGCCAGAGAAAACCATCTTCCTTCAAACAGCGACGATCAAACCACCCCACACCTCCAGCTCCTGTCCCTACTGAACCGACTGCCCAGGATGACAAGAAAACTATCGATGAGGAGAATCGCCGTCAACTGGCGGCCATGTCGGACGCGCAGATCCAACAGGAACGAGAGGAGCTGATGGAACAAATGGATCCTGGACTTCTCAAACGATTCCTCCGCAGAGCAAACATTGAAGAGGACCAAAAGACAGAATTTTCACCGCCAGCACCTGTGGCGGACGAGAAATCTAAGCCGAGGAAATCAGTTTCGTTCAACATTCCTCCATCTGCACCGGTTGCTGCGACCCAAAGCGCACAGTCTCATTCTCTATCCAAAGAATCACCTAAGCCGCACCCTCGCAATGAAGATCTCGCTCCTCCCACCCTCCCTCAAGACCTCCACCCGGCCTCTCAGCGGCCCTCCCTTGACCCAGCTACTCTCGAAACCTTCCACTTCCCTCAGCCAACAAAGCCAATGCCGGTCTTGGACCCATCTTCCCCATCTTTCCTATCAGATCTCCAGTCACACTACTTCCCCGAGATAGCCCAAGATCCATCAACGCTCTCATGGCTGCAGCCCCTCTCTGCCGACGAAGAAGACCCAGACTCAACGTCAGCCTACCACCCAACCAGCAATGCCATCTCAATGGCGCCTTCGGCAATCCGCTTCTCACTAACAGGCACCATTCTTGCTCCCGAAACATCCCTCTCCCTCCCGACAACTATGGGCCTTCACCATCATGGCGAGGATCCGCATGCCGCGGGCTACACAATCCCCGAGCTGGCAATTCTGGCACGCTCCACATTCCCCGCTCAGCGATGCATCGCATGGCAGGTCATCGGTCGGATCTTATTCCGACTTGGCCGGGCAGAATTTGGTGATCGGGGCGGGCCACTGTCCGATGGATTGTGGTTTGTTATTGAAAAGGAGGGTATTGTTGCTGGTATGCTTGCCGAGGCCGATGGAGCCGCTGGTCAGACCCAGGGTAGAAATAAGAGCAAGAATGCAAAAGATGACGAGGAGGGTGGTAACTTGCCTCTTGCGTCCGGCGTTGGTCGTCATGCTAGTGCTGCTGCGTGGGCGGTTGAGGGTATCTGGCTGTGGCAGAAGGGTGGTGGTGGTGATCGTGGGTTGTTGAAGGAAGGCCAGCATCGATCTCTGTAGTTGGTGTTCTCATTTCGTTTTGTTGAGAAGTAAACTAACAGTAGAAAGATATTTTTATGCACAAAGGACAAAATGCCATGATAATGTTCAATTGTAATTTTTACAGAGCTACGGTTTCTAACTTGAAATGTCCCATCATGCCCATGTTCACTCGCATCCAACTTTGGCCATCCCCTCCTCTGCCCACCGCGGCCATCGATGTAGGAGTCGTCAAGAGACAAATCGATATCCGCAGTAGAACAGAGACGAAGAAGGAACCCCGAAGCCAAATACGAGAATTGCAACGGAATGTTGCAATGTCAGCGGGTCGTGCATAGCACTTTTGCAATGGTCATTGATATATCGCATCCGATACAGAGCTTATTCACTTCCGCAGAAGGAATTTCAAGGCATGGATCTCGCCTTGCGCTCCACCTTACAGCGCGAAGAATATCCTATAAGGGAGTAGAACGTGAGCACAGCAGAAACAAGAAACTTGAGGTATGGGTATTAGTAGACTATGACTAAGGTTAGGCGAAAACACGAGTCCGTTTCACGGGGCTGCCCATGCGCATAGACGCGTTTCCACCGGTCATACCATTCAGTAGACGACCCATTCCTTCCACGTCTAGTTCTCCTCGTCGGAGCATCAGCTGGTCGGTCTCTGATGTTTCTTCCTGTTTCACTACAGGCAGGCTTTCTTCGACAGATTCTGTCAACCTCGGAGCGAGAATCATGATCTGGTGCTCTGCTGCCACGAGTACATCGAAGGCTTGTCGCTCTGCTTGCCGGGATCGGCGTGCTGGTGCAGGTAGGTGTCCAATTGCCTGGAAGTTCTGGCCCATCAAGTTCACGTCTTGGAAAGGAGAAACGCGGCATCGATTTGATGAATCAAATGTGCCAGTGCTTTTGACAGCGTTGCGCCACAGAGACAATAAGCTCGTGATGACCGCGCTCTGGCGGCCGTGACGAAGCAGGATCGACTCGTCGGGCAATGCGTCTGAGGATGCATTTGTCTGCAAGACAGAGATTTGGCCGCGGTGGGACGGACTGGCTGTGTTCATCGATCCCTTCAGCAACCCATCTTCGCGTACACGCCTTGTGGATGGTGTCATAGGCGCGAATCGGGATCGCTGCTCCGTCTCGGAGTTGGTGTTGGAAAGTGGTGTCATAATACGGCCGCAGACAGCATATGCGGTTAATGAACCACCAGTCACACCTTGGACACTTGTCTGGCGGTGCAGGGGGCCCTTAACAGCACCAGGACCGGCACCTTCGATATCCCATACGCCCCATTCACCGTCTTCGAGAAGCACCATAACTGCTCGTCCGCCTAGCACCCAGTCGGCATCAATGATTCTCTTCCGCCGGGGAAGTCCGTTGGGTCCTTGCTCAAAGCCGGGGTACAGACTGATCAACCAGCGACCTTCCGTGTCGATAGTTTCGTAATCTTCTTGTGGCACGGAAGCCCGCCGTGAGGATTTCAAAGTCTTTCTGACAAAGCAAGAATAAACCTTAACGCAGCCGCTGTGAAATGCAACAAGCAGGTTGGCATGGCGGACGGATGGCCATGTTGATGGGTTAAAGGCAATCGTCTGGGCAGGTGCTGGCAAGAGGCGCCGCTGAGAGACAATATCTTCTTCCACAAGACGCAATGAGGATTCCTCGCGGATTGGAATTCGGTGTAGCAACAGCGCACCGCATCCCTCTGCAGAATGCGTAGCCACGAGCAGATCCCATTTACCAAAATTTCCGAATCGGCCTCGCGACTTTCGCTGGTCTTGCTCATCCTCAAATTCACGACAGGTGAACGTAATAGATACACCGCGTGGAATATCTTGATGAGTGGTGGCCCCATTGACCGTGAGGGTTTGGATGTGCCAGCTCTTGGAATCCGTCTGCGCAGGGTGAGGAGGCACAAGTGGCAGAGTCACCACTTTTGTCGACAGGTCGGAGCAAACCACCGACAGAACGATTGTGCTTCTTAGGATAGGTGGAAAGGGATCTAGAGGGGAGCGGTCTTCCTCGGGGAGAACACGAGGCACCGCCACATCCAGCACCCGGCTTCCAAGGGGAATATCAATCTGTCGTAGAATCTCTTCATATGGAGCAGCGGGATCAACCTCGCTCTCTTCCAAACTGAACTCAACGACCGGCTCTTCTTGTACAGGTTCGGGTTCCTCATCCTCATCGGAGTCAATGATCATGGCTGAATCGTGATCCGCATTGTTTCCTGTGGGTTTCTGCTTCGCTTGAGGCTCAACCGGCTTTAGTTCTGTGAACCGTCTCCCTCCTCTCCACACAATTTTTAGTCCAGTATCATAGCCGTAGATAATGACCGAGGAGCCATTCGGGGCTCGAAGTGGGTAGCCTTTGGCTGTGTGGATGCGATGCGAGAGCGGATAGCTAAAGATTTTGCAAAACGAGGTCAGCGTCAATCCAAATACCATGACCAATGCGCATCACCCGTACCTGATCTGCAAGCCATCATCTCTAGTCCGGACCAAGGGAGTAGTAGGAAATGAGGGCATTGTGCTAGTTGCGATGCTGTCGAGTTACAGGTAGCTTCGAGCACAGGCGCCACAGCGCACCGCAGGGGTGATAGACCGTCGAAGATTTGAAGGTAAAGTAAGACCTAATTACTGAATGCTTGTTCCTAAACAAAAGCAAACAGAGAGAAGGATGTTAAGAGGTAGGGAGAGTGGAAGGTTGCGTAGATGGAGAAAGGAAGTTGTTTTGGTCGGGAAGCAAAGAGAAGTCGATCCAATCCGCGTTCCAGCGCGTCTTCCCAACTTCGACATTCAACCACTCGGCATGTCTTCTGGGCGCACCGTTGATTAAACTTACGTGAACAATGGAAATGATTTCAACGATTTCAACCGCAGAACTGTTTGTGACGGCGCAATACGATCGCTACCCCGGCTGCTAATCAGCTCACCATGGCGTCAGTTCGCTCTTTGGGCGTCCACGAACCCTCAGCCGTCTCCTACCTAGTCTCAGAGGGAATTCTCCCTCCTGAACCCTCAAGAGATTATTATAACTGGACGATATGCGTTGACGAAAGCGGATTGACTGGCCCCGTGGACGATGAGTTAGTATGGACGAAACACTGTGTTGTATGGTCCCGCGCAGGGATGGTGAAGCGAGTATTTCGAATGGACCCCGAGAAAGAAGATATTCGACATGCTCTATTCACTCGGTTTGCAGTGGGAGACACCAAACGCTCTAAAACCACGTCTCCAAGTCGACCTGAAGCAACTATTGGCACGCAGAAACAAAAGCGGACTGAAACGTTCTCAACGTTGGATCTACATGGAGATGCACGAGTGGCAGTCGTAGCTCCCCAGAACTCCAATGAGGCTCTTTCTAGGGCTTTGGTTGTAGTCCTCAAATCGCAAGCTCATATCTTCTTCGTGGCGGGCAATAGCCATACGATTCCCCTTCCATTTGAGGTTGAATCTGTGTTTGCTACGCCTCGAGGTCTTATCCTCCAAAGAAAGGTCCAAGATGAAAATGGTGGCAGTCAACATCCGACTGCGCCTCCGAATTCTTTCATGTCTGCTTCGCTCTTTGACCCTGGCGCCTCTCAACCATTCTCTCTCGGCAAAAGCAAGCGTCCATCGACGAAATCGTCATCTGTTCCGGGTCCTTCTTGGGTGCCAAATGCCAGCTCAAGCACGGATTTACCCCGGGTTTTCTCCCTCATTAACCCTCATTCCGAGATGGGCCTGATTGTGACATCCCAAACTTCCCGCTGGCTTCAGAGCAGCATCAATAGCACCAGAAGAAGGCCATCGGGACTAGAGGTGTTGGACCCTGTGGATGAGATTGTATACATCTCTCCAAAAGACGAACTCCCGGGCACCAATAGACCAAATAGTGGCCCTTTGATTTTGGTGGTTACGATAAACACAACTACAGGTATCTATACGATCTGGACTGCGCGATACAAAGATGATGAATCAAGCGGCTCAATGAAAGATAAAACCAGACGGGAAACAGGAGGTACCCGGTCAGTAAGGCGAAGCTCGCATTTCGGGATGGCTACTGGCGCAACAACACCGGCCGGTCGCTCTGGAGCAACCCGAGAGAGCTTTGGGCCTCGAACCGACAACTGGCCTTCCACTCAGCTATCTGAAGGAAAGAATGACGCTGAAGATGACTTGGCTTCGAGAGTAGCCCAAGACTTTGGAGATGTCGGCGTCCCCCTCAAAACATCAAGACGGGTCAGCTCACTGCTCGCCCGAACAGATCTTGCAACTAGCCAGGACCGTATCACTTTCTCAGACTTAGCCACTGGCAGTCAGTCCAGCACCATGGGGCATGGTGCCGGATTCAGGCAGTCTATAGGAGGAGCGAGCGCTCGTGGAAGCTTTGGTTTCAACCCTCGAGGCTCTCTGCCTCCAGGCACAGGGTCTGTTTACAGCACAGCAGGCAGCTTTTTAGATACCCCAGTGGACAAGCTACTCGAAGAGCTCAACAGTGACAGTCTCACTTCTGGGTTCGACAACATTGCCCTACGCGACTCGACATCAGGACTCCCAGAAGAACTTTTATTGACCAAAGTTGAAAGTTTCTCGTCCCAATTCTCGGGTAATTTCCAAAAAGAACCAGCATCTCGAAGGTTGAAGGTCTCTACATTGGCGTCCAGTGAGTTTGGAAGCGCCCACAAAGGCAATACAGCTTCCCTGGCAGTATACATCGTGGACCAAGAGGCACAGAAATTAACTATTGTGAATCTGAGGGCGGACCGAGAACCAACTCCTAGGAGCCAAAAGAAAAAGTCCAAGACCGCCGAGCAGCGTCCGTTACTCGTGCGTGCGGTAAGGATCCAAAATGTTTCAAATGTCTTGGATACTTGTACAATCTCCGATGGAGATCTTTCGCGAGTACTCTCACTAAGTGAAACGGAAAACGGACACCGCGAGCTATCATTGCAAACCCTGTGGGGTAGTCCCGTCAAAGTCGAAGTTCCTGTGCCACTTCAGCTGTATGAACCGGATGGCATCTCTGCCAACAAA